ATAGCAAAAGCAGAAGGAGAAGCAGAGTAGCAGGAGAACAGAGTCTCCTCTCCTATCTCCAATTCCAATTTCCAAACTCAATTAGCCATCCAATTTCCAAACTCAATTAGCCATTCCCATTCGACCATTCTCCGAGACAGCTAGGGACAGGATATTCTTACCGATTTCCAAACCACGGAGAGACGGAACCAAGTCGGAATTGGGATTCTCGGAACCAGGGGAAGAAGGCGAGCGGGAGCGCCGGAGTGGAACCACCGGAGGCGAACTGGTATTAAGGCGAACTGGGATTGATTTTATCAATCGAAGGAATGAAAATAGAAGGCTGGGGGTGGATGTTTCACCTTCTTGGCTGAGTATTTAAGGGTGATTGAGGATTGACAGATTGAGTTGGAGAACAGAGAGTAGAGACTTTGAGAAGAGAAACGTTGGTGGATTAGAGACGTTTGTGGATTTTTGGGAAGATGAGAATATTGGAGAAACCATTAATGATTGATAATTTTGGGAAGGGAGGTTACGAGAATTGAGGAAGATTGGCGAATAAGGAGGCTGGCCGCTGCCGCTGGAGTGTGCACGCTGAACTCTTCGGCTGCCGATTGAATTAGTTATATATATATATATATATATGTATATGGGCCAACTTTGTGAGGCCCCAAATATTGCGAGGCCCTGTGCTGTGGGTCAGACTAGCACAGGGCCTGGGCCGGGCCTGATCTCCATTATGAATGCCAGTACTTCCAGCTTTCTGTGCGACTTCAATTCTCACAAAATAACAGTTCTGACTTTTGAAAACTAATGCCAACAAAAAAATGTGACATCAATGGTTCTCCCTTTGTCGGCTACAAACTATAGAGGTGATTTTTCGGGACGGCTAAAGATGTGTACACTAAGAGCCCCTTTGTACATAGAAAAAAAAATGTATGGTGATAGGGGGTCTCTCTTATGCATACCCCATCCTAAATTAAATCATTCTGATTGATGATCATTCAGTAGAACTAAACAAAAGATCGTTTGAACACACATCATAAATAGTTGGCCCCAACGTTCAACAAAGCCCATCATTGTCATAAAACCTTCCATAAATGCCATTCAACCAAGTCATAAGCCTTGGACATATCCATTTCGACCCCAAAGTATCACACGCTTCCTTTAGTCTTCTTTTTCATCGTGTTGAAATATTCTAACACATCCATTATATTGTCTATAATGAAACAATTGCGGACATAAGCAACTTGCGCTCAAGAGATGGACCGATCAACACGAATTATGTAAAACTTCATTGTAAGCCGATAAAATTCATTTATGAACTACATCCAAAACCAACATTGTCTCTGAAATTTGTCATGATGCAAGCAAGTTGCTAAATTAGTCAACCATGCACCGGAAAATTTGTATTACTATTACCACAACAAGATCACCATGTTCGTAAGTATCAATACTCAATACTAATAGAAATTGTAGTACCACCTGCAATCAAGGACCAAACTTTATCAATGAGAACACCATTAGCTTCAAGATAAACACCCACTTTGGTAGCCAAACTCATCCATTTTCTTGTGAATTGTCCGTAGAGAAGGGTGTTAAAATCAAACTAGCCACTCACACCCTAACTACTCTTCCTTTGGTAACAACTTCAAAGGGCAAATCAGTAAGCCCTCATGCAAACAGAAATTGCACAATTATCGAGTTCTAGAACCCGAATCCCTAATCCCCATCACCTTCAAAAGATCATATTGTCGTTAACCTCTGTTCTCGAAGGAAGGGAGGAAAATAGAGGGAAAGGAAAATTTGGAGGGGAGAGAAATGAAGGGGAGGGAAAATTGGAATGAAGGGAAAATGTTGTTTTATGGAGGAAAGTGAAAGGAAAGTGGGAGGAGAAATGTATATTGGAAAGTGTGATAAATATGTTATTTTGTTGGTTATATAATATTGAAATTTTAATAATGTGTTGTAATTATGTTCATTACTTATAATAGTGGATCAAATGTATTCTTTCTTGCTAATTTGTTCACTATTAATCCAAGTTACACAGATTTTACGCTTTGGAAATTAGAAGCTTACACTTTTACGCTTCTAGATTATAAAAATGATTCTACGTAGAATCGTGCTTTTCATTTACAAGCGTAGCCAAAATAACTCTTTACAACTTAAAAACTTACGATTTTACGCTTTTGGGTCACCCAAACGCTTCTATGTAGAATCGTGTTTTTGACTGTATTGAATGGTTCTATATTGTGGTTCATGTCATTATCTTAATTATAAGGATTAATACCGATTATTACAAATATTACTTATTCCTATCTATATCTATAACCCACGTCATCTTCTTTTCATTTTAGTTTTGAGTTTGTTGGACCAAAGTAACAAAAAAAGAAAAAAAACGAAAAATTGAATATAAAAAAGGATTAGTAGAGTTTTCCCACTAACCACTCGTATAATGATAGAGCTCCATATAAATTGTACTTCCTTTTTTGTTTTGAGTCAATAGAAAAAGAATAAAAAACAGCAACTCAAGTTCTCTCTCCTTTTCCTCCCAAATCGGAGGTTAGCTTTCCACAATATATTTTCCTTCTTATTTCCTCTCCCGCGCTATTGTAGATGACTTAAAAAACGGGGGAAACATTTTTGGTACCCGCACTTTCTCCCCCACTTTTCCTTTCCCTCCCCTTTCCGCCCTTAAAAAACAGAGCATTCAAGACCATCCTTCGTAAACCACACACAAATAGTCATAAATAAGAATCGAAATAAAATTAGCCCATCACACACCCATAAAAACATTAATCCCATAATTCCTTTCCTACGTACAATCTGGAGAATCGCAAGCAGTGAAGGATCACCAAAAATTGCCCAACCAAACTATGTTGCCACCACTTATAACATCCCTAACATTTTCCGAACAATATATTGTCCGCTTTAAGCCATTTTAGTGCTCGACAATGACCGTGTTTAATTTTGAAGTTCTTACAAGAACTCCTCGATTTCACCACCAAACGTGTCTCATCAGTTCGATTTCTTACATAAACAACATAAGTCTCTCTCGTACTTTGTCGATGCGAGATCACCTAACATATTACACTTATTTCCAAAACAAATCATCCCTTCTTTCATCAAAAATTTAGAAAATGTCATTATCGCTCACCAGATTCTCCACCACCATTCACTCCCCTTTCAACAATAAACAGTAACATGTGGCGGAATGCAACTTCCGAATCTTTTTCTTTTCTCGTCGTGTCAAAGCATCTGCGCCTCTGCGGTCTGCCTACTTCAATCGCCTTTAATAGCCGTAGTAGTCCAGAGTCCAGACTCCAGTCAAGTTTCTCTCAAATCAATCCCCAAAATTTCGAAAATAAATAATCATAGTAAATAATGAATATACTTTTTCCCTTTCCGGTTCCCATAAATTTCAATATACACAATGATGCCACCGATCTTTCTCAAAACAATTAATTGATAACAACTAATATATATATATATATATATATATATATATATATTAAATTGGAAGATTTCTATCTCTCCCATCCCTATTTCTCAGATTCCACCCCCACTTTCCTTCACCTCTCTCAGTCTCACCCACCGCCAGTGCAGGAGGGGAAAAGAAAATAAAAAATCTCTCCGCCAAGGTTCATTCTGCTCTCCCTCGCCGACTCCGCAACTCTCCGCGGAGGAGGTGGAGAAGGAGTAACAGAAGGAGGAGAAGAAAGATCTGCACTCTTCTGTTCTTCTATCAGCAGCTGATTCCCCGCTTTCACGCCACTCGCGCCTTCCTTTTCCCCGGCTAATCTCTTTCCATATTCTCCGGTACGTACAATTGCTCTTACCGATTCTTCTCTCTACAAGCTTCTGTTTCTGCCGATTTTAGCAATTCGATCTCTTCCGCCTGAGCTGAGCTGGTACGGCGAAGCCTCTGGCAGCTTCGTTTTCGAATCGCCGCCTGCTACTTCTTTCTTACCTTGTTTTAAAATTTTGAACGATTATCCAATGGTACTTCCTGTTTAGAGATTTTCCTGTTCTCGAGGAGGTTCGGGTGCATCGCGTTTCGAAACCGTCGTTCGTTCCATTCCTTCTTTTCTCTTGGATTTTGGTTTTCGGCTTCGCCGGAAAATTAATTGTATACTGTAGTGGGAAGAGGCAAAAGGGTGGAAGTGGTTAGTTATAGGATTAGTATTAATTAATTAATTGGACTTCTTATTCGTCAAAATAATCTCGTCACAGTGGAATTTTGGTATTGATAGTGCATCGTTGACCAATATTTTGACGGTACGGAGTCGTATACTCTATCCCGAAGCTACAAAAGTGCACTACGTCTCTGTTTCTTTATTGTTATGAATACGTCTACATGTACAAAAGTGGGTGGCGTCGGTCATTCTCCTCGTTATTTTGGTACCATAATGTAATTTCCCTTCTGGGGTAGTATATGGCAATGCCTGGACTGGAAGAACTTGATATGATTGGAGAGCTGACCGTTTCAGCTTTCAACAGTTGATTCGTGATGATTTTTTTCCACTACAGATCCCTGATATTTCTCTTTTAAACACCCAAGTCCCGTATAATTTTGGCTTTAGGGATTAGACAAAAAATGATCCTAATTATCGTGTATCTTTGTTCGTTTTTCTTGGGTCACCGTATCTTTGTTCGCCGAATAGCAGAAAAATATGTATTTTACATATTTTTCTATCAGTATAATAATAATAAAAATTTCGTTGAATATAATCAACGAAAAATATAATCAATTTATTTTTAAATGAAGAATATTTTATAGTTTTGAGTCTCTTAATGACAAATTATTCAACTTATTTTGTCTATTTTCCATCAAGTTGGATTTTTGTGTTTGGAAGTTGCTACCGTGTTAGTTGTGTATTGGGTTATCAAGTTCATGGTTGTCTGTCACTTGTTGTAATTTGTAAATACGCTGTTGTTACTTATATATAGTCTAGGGCCGTTACTGTCTATGGATGCCTTAAGTCGGTTCTACTACTAACAAATAAAAACAAAGTTACTTTTAGTTTTCTGTCCTTTTTAGTTTTTTAATTTTTGCTTTTTTTGTTAGGTCTGTTCTGTTAAATTTCAGTCAACTCAAAAGTGTATCAACGAGTCCGTATTTTGTACAGAAAAAAAGTTCTAATTGTAAATTTATTTTCTTTAATATAATACTTACTGAAATGTAAAACAATGTTCCCTTCTGGTTACTGGATTAAGGAAAAGTGAAAACTAATGAAGTCTTTGTTCTCCACATCCTTGGAAATGTGTATTAAGAATCTTTACTACGGATTGATTTTGTTGAACACTTGTTTTTTCTTTTTCTCAATAAGATCAATGGGTTAATATAAAAAAAACAATATAAAAATGAATAGGAGGGTTCTATAAACTAAAGGTGGGAGACTGGGAGTTGAGTGAAAACATAATCATCTCTAGATCTTTGACAGATAGAGAATGCCAGAAAGGCGGTCCTTTTTATAGAACCCAATCCAGATTTAATGTTTACCAACCTGCGAATACCATAATGCCATGCGCAACCTAGACATAACCTCACCCCACGCCCCATAAGCTTTACAAATGTGCTTCAATAATTGAAGAGAAAGGGACATTGGCTTACTTGTTTGTTTCACCCTTTAATCATTCAACTGATGAACATTTGATAAATGGCTAACATCATTGCTAATACTTGCTTGGTATGTATGACATACCTTTCCTTTTTCTTTCTCTTGATATGAGCATATTAAGAATTCTTTTTTCGATATAAGATGTACATAATCGATATGAAAACGCTAAAATTTATTTCTTGTTTGTTCCCCTTTATTTCCATCGACGTTGGCTATTTTGAGACGTTTTCATCTTCTGTGATTCTTCAAGTTGTGTTTGTCTGTCTGTCCATTGGAAACTTGTTTTGATTTCTTCTCCCGTGAGGCCATAGCATCAATTTTCATTTCGGTGGCAGAACGGATAGTGATACTACTGAGACGAGAAAAGAATGTACTAGTAGAGAGAAGAGAACCAACCAAAATGCATTTATTCCCCTTCCTTATCCTCTTCTTCCCTTCTTCCATCACCAATTCCTCGGATTCCAAATTTCACGTTCCCCCCAATGAATCACCATTATTAATGAAGGTTTTCTCTTTTCCCGTTTTTAGCTTCTTTCTAGCCTTGGCTCTTATTTATGGGTGGTTGTCCGCACCTTCAAATACAGAAGTAGAAGATAGAACACTCTTACTTACTGTCACTGACTCACTGTCCATGTCATATTTACGTTCCGTGTCTGGCTGGGTATTATTAAGATTGTTTGGACGCGAAGAGGTGGTGCAATATACACTACAGAAGCCGCACAACGAGGGTTGAGTCCTGATGTATACTCCATAGGATTTTCGTGCGTGAATGACTCGTGTTCGTATTCAAGGGCAGCCCTTTTTTCTGGGGCATTTTTTTTCCTCTTCTGGTTGTCTCTTTCGGCCTTTTTTTTGTTGGGTATTCATTATTCATGTTTGTCCGTACTTCCCCTCTCGTTTTCGTCGTTTCTACTGAGACTGTCATTCTTGTTTTCCAGAGGTTGTTGAGGTCTGAACGTGGGCTCCGCTCTTTGAGAGGTTGGAAATGTCAAGTGGAGCTCTTTGTCAACGGACACGGTGGACTTGTTTACGCCATGTGATAAGAAAACACCAAAACCAAAAAACCATTCAAGTTTAACAACCCATCCCTATTCCCTATCTACCCAAACTTTATACTTCCCAGTTGGTTAAATACTTTCCCAGATGGTTAGCATGTGAGTTTGTATTCTAAGGTATACTTGTATATATGCATGTCTTGTTATGGTTTCAAATTAAGTAATATATCTCTGTTGATTTCGATCATGTGTCGATTTGGGGTTTAGGTGTTTGGTGAAGGAAGGAGAGTCCAAAGCTTTAAGGAAGCAGGGTGCTGACTGACTTCCAAGTTGTTTGTGGCGATGGCGGGGGAAGAGATAAACCAGAAGCTTTTGACCAAAACTGTCGAGGCAGAAGGCGAGGAAGTACCCTTGAAGTCCGAGATATGGACGGAGACCAAGAAGATGTGGGTTGTGGCTGCCCCAGCTACCTTCACCAGGTTCTCCACCTTCGGCATCAATGTCGTCAGTCAGGCTTTCATTGGCCATATTGGGTCAACTGAACTCGCTGCTTACTCCCTTGTCTTCACTGTCCTCTTGAGATTCGCTAATGGCGTCCTGGTGAGCATCTCTCTCTCTTTTTCATTCTATCTGCTGTCATGTGTCTCCCACGGTCAAGTTTCTGACTGGTCATGGGTTTTATGCGTTGCAGCTGGGCATGGCTAGTGATTTGGAAACTCTTTGTGGGCAATCATTCGGGGCGAAGCAGTACCACATGCTGGGAGTTTGCCTGCAGAGATCATGGATTGTTTTGATCATGTGCGCAATTCTGATGCTTCCGATATTCGTCTTCACTACTCCGCTCCTGGAGCTATTGGGCCAAGAGGCTTACATCGCTGAGGTTGGGGGAACTATTTCACTATGGTTGATCCCAGTGATGTTCTCCTCCATCGCTTCCTACACCTGCCAGATGTTCCTTCAGGCACAGAGCAAGAATGTGCTCATTGCATATTTGGCTGCAGCTTCCATGACCATCCACTTGTTCCTTAACCTGGCTGTGGACCATAAAGTACAGGTATGGGATCCCAAGAGCAATGATATCCACGATTCTGGCTTATTGGATCCCCAATATAGGTCAGCTCTTCTTTGTTACTTGTGGTGGCTGCCGTGAAACTGGGAAGGGTTTCTCGTTCTTGGCGTTCAAGGATCTGTGGCCTGTTGTGAAGCTCTCTGTTTCATCTGGGGCTATGCTTTGGTACGTTTCTTGTTTCCATTTTCGTCCACTGCTATCGTCTTTAGATACTTTTGGTTTCATGCTGCAATCTTCATCTTGAATAATGAATGTTGTTTATTTGACCACAACCTTGAGCTTTGGTACAACACATTGCTAGTGCTTTTGACAGGTAACATGGAGAATGCCGAGGTTGCTATTGATGCTCTTTCTATCTGGTAGTTCTCTGCTCAAGATTTCTGCTCTCCCGTACTTCTTTCGTGTTTGTGTTTATGCCTGGCTAGAAATGGCTCTCTTAAATTGCTTTTTTGGTTGCAGCCTCAACATCAATGGATGGGAGATGATGATCTCACTTGGTTTCTTAGCAGCTGCCATGTATGTTTCATCACCGAAACGCCTATCTTAATGCAACCCTTTCGATTTTCGAAGTGGAAATTCATCGATCCCGGTTATTGAATGTGTGATGCTTCAGTGTGAGGGTGTCAAATGAGCTCGGGAGGGGCAACGCCAAAGGCGCCAAGTTCGCTATTCTGGTGACGGTTGCAACATCATTCCTCCTTGGGGTCCTGCTATTCCTCGTTTTCCTGTTCTTGAGAGGGAAGATTGCTAACCTATTTACGGAGAACCTCGAGGTCGTCCATGATGTCTCTGATCTCTCACCACTACTGGCCTGCTCCATTCTCCTCAACAGCATTCAACCAGTCCTCTCCGGTATATTCCCCAGAGACTTTCCACTGTTGATGAATAAGCTAGTAAATATTTTTAAGCTAAAACGAACTAACGTGCATCCCTTGTGGACAAACAAACAGGTGTTGCTCTTGGAGCTGGATGGCAGAGCATCGTTGCTTACATCAACATAGCTTGCTATTACCTTGTTGGTATCCCAGTTGGAGTTGTTCTTGGATATGTGTTTGGCATGCAAGTTAAAGTAAGAAGCCTTCTCTACTTGCGGACCTTCCTTACCCTCCTCTTTCAGAACTCTACTCTTTTTCTTCGTGGAATGTCAAATTCACACTATCAAATTCCCAGGGTGTCTGGATCGGGATGTTGTTTGGAACATTCATCCAAACCATCATTCTCGTCGTGATCACCTACAGAACTGACTGGGACAAACAGGTATGCTAATCCCCGATTCGATGTGTGTTTCGGCTCATAAAATCTGCATCTAAACCTGATTAACCAATCCTTTTTCACTTTTGATGATCTGCAGGTTGTTCTTGCTCGTAACCGTGTCAACAGATGGTACGAGCAAAGTTTGGTGTCTTCCTAGGTTTCCAACTTAGATGTTTTTGTGTGCAAATTCACCTGATATAGTCCAAGCCTCTCTTTTCCCTTCCATCCGAAATCCCCCCCCCCCCCCCCCCCCCCCCCCCCCCCCCCCCCCCCCTTCTTTTGTTACTGCAGTTAGAAAGATCTGCAGAGTAGTAGTATCTTCATTTCCCATTAATGACAAAAATTTTGTATCATCTCCTAATGTTACAGTAATGCCAGTTTCTCTTCCCACAGTCTCAATTCTATGTCACAGATGTTAACACAACAGAATGAAAGAAAAACAATTGCTCTAATAAACTTCACTATTCACCAAAAGTTCTTTGGCGTGTGTATATGATGCCTAGACCCTCCACCACCACGGCCACCTCTATGAGTATCAGTAACAGCAAACCGCGAGTATCTCCTCGCCCTGTTTATCTTCATCCTCACGCCTGGAACCTTCCTCCCCACGGCCTGCCATATCATTTGTACAGCATCGCCTTCCACAGAAGGGTACTGGAACTGGAAGAAATGCTCGACTTCCTTCAACCTCGTCCACATTGTCGTCCACTCTTCCTTCTTGATGCTCCTGATGAAGTTGATCAAGAACTTCTCCTTCACCGCGTCGGAGGTCTTGACAAACACGCAGAACTCGGAGTAGTCCAGGACATCCTCGTAGGGGAGCTCGATCTCGTCGCTGATGATCACGGGGATGCAGTGGCTGGCGATGGCATCAAAGAGGCGGTTCGACGAGGGTGTGTCCCCGGCTATGTTGAGGCAGAACTTGGATGAGTGCATGCCTCGGGAGGCCTTGTGGATGCCGTCTTTCTTCACGCTGCCGAACTGGAAGTGCACGTCTTTTTCGTCCTTCAGTAGGTAGAACAGCTCTTGCCTAGCCAGTCCACCCTGCACAGCATTTTAACCAAACACATGTGAATTTCCTTTCTTACTTGGGGATGACATTTTCGTTCCCCATTCAAGTGTTGCAGAAGAGCATACACCTTTCCTGTAAATGGGGGAAAGGAAATGGAAGATCAACTTACATCTTTCCTGTAAATGGCACCCTGGAAGTAGAGCAGAGTTGGTCTGGTGTCATACTCCGAGCTATCATTGACATAGCTCTTAATGATATGCTTGTAAGGCGCAATCACATCCTTGTCCACATTCGCCACATTGGGCGGATACCTGCCGAAATCTGACAACACAAACATCGCCGGCCACAGCTTCATCCTTGCGCTCAGCATACTATTCGGGTGGTGAGCCATCACCAGATGATCCCTCCCGCCGGACCTTTTCCACTCCGGCTGTGAAGTGAGGTACTTCACCACTTTGTCCTGCAACTCATTGTTCCTGCTCTTCTTCTGGTGCGGGTTCAGCTTCGAGTACCGGTTGTAGCTCAGGGAAGAGAAGAAGGGCACGAATATGATGTCGGCTTCGCTCGAATTCCGGACTCGAATGGCACTCCCGGCTCGAGGAATCTGAGGGACTTCAGAAGCTAGAAGGTCCAGTGTAAGCCAGTATTCGATGCTGTGTTGCAGATTGAGTCCGCCTGGGTACCCGGGTATGTGGGTTTTTATGTCGGGCCATACCCGACCCGGTTCGGGTTTCCAACCCAAGAGCTCGAAGTGGAACTCTGGAGGCATATCGTACATGAAAACCTTCAATTGTTGTTGTTGTTGCTGCGGTTTGGTGTTGACGAGGCTTCTTTCGCCATTGCAATTCACATCAACATTGACACTAGTAGCTCTGGTTTCGGGTCTTCTTACTGCTGCTGCTGCTATGGGCTTATCATCATTCACGGGTTTGGGTCCGGCGTCTAGATTGGCGATGGTGGTGGTGAGGATGTTATTGATTTTTTCTGGTTTTGTGGGCTCGGTGTCGTCGACGAGGATTGCGCGAGTCCTAGTGGAGATGGAGCTAGGAGTGGAGAGGTGTTGCTGGAAGGGGATGTCGCTTTTAACGACGGAGAGAGTGGTGACCATCGGTAAAAATGCGCGGTCGAGGAAGCTTGGGCGGGCGGTGGAGGAGCGGAGGACGAAGAACCATGAGAGCATGAGCACGGCGGAGACAAACGGGAATACGTAGAATAGGAGCTTTCTAGCGGCGAACCCAATCGATGAGCCCCCGTGTCTGTATTCGCCCATCGGAAAGGGGGGAATGAATAAAAGCACCCCCAATATTGCAATCTCCGGAAGAAGGGGAAAAAACCCCCCTCTACAAAGACGACGGCCGGTTATTTCCCTCCGGCGAGCTGAAAAATTCTCTCAGACGAAAATTCAATGGCGTTCCAGTGAACCAACACAGGAAACCAACGGAAACCCATATTGCAGAATCGGTTTCTGTGTGGAACCCAGAAACTGAAAAAACGCAATCATGCGGAATGAAGCGAATGCACAGGTGTAAAGAGAGAAAGAAGAGGAACCAAATAGGCCACAGAACTTTCGCGTCTTCCTTCCCCTCGCCGCCGAAAGAGTTTCGGCACTGAGCTCCGTCTGCTTGATTCTTGGTGGGTCTGCAACAACAAATCAATCTCTTGTTTCCGTTATTTCTGTTTCTTGAATTTCAGAGAGCGAGAGAGAGAGAGGAGTAGAGGTGGGGGAGGAAGAATTTTGGGATGAGGAGAGGAGAGAAGATGGCGGAGGAATAGGAGGATGAGGTTGCTTATGGAGTTGTCTGGTGGAGGTGATGCCTGTTGGACCGCCATTCTCGTTTTCCTCTGAGGCTATTTATGGTTTTGATTTTCCGGGCCTTTTGTTTTCTTCTGCAGTTCCAAGAAGAGCAGAAAGGAGGAAAAGAGATGGATAATTAACAATCAGGAGACACGACCTCGAATCAAAACAAACATCATTCAATTTTCCTTTCTCCCGTAGATCATATCCGGGGAATTAGATCTAATCGAATCAAAAGTGGAGTTCACATCGTTAATCTTATTTAATTAAATTAATTAATCAATAGGTCCTTCGAGATCCGGTCTTTTAATCAGGAACCATGTGCTTACATAAAATCAGAATATTTATGGGATTAGTAGATACTTTCAGTGGGACGGTTTGTAATTAGTATTTTCTTATTGGTCGCAGACTTACTAGTGAATTTTTTATTTGTTTGTTTTATTGACCTCATGATTTCGGGTACAAGTAAGAAACAAGGCAAAGTACTTGGTTGGCCAGCGTTTAATCAATATAAAATTTAAGTTAATGTCTATTATTATTCAAAATTTTCAAAAGAAAAAATTATTATTCAAAATTTATAAAATTTCTATTTATTATCCAAACATATTGTAACTTATCAAAGTCTGGGCATTCATTCTGATACCATTACTTATTTCGTAGCAGAACTCCACGTAAGTATCCACATCAGCGCACACGTTACAAATTAATATTTAAATGTATTTTATCATTATAAATTTTAGGATAATTTTTATTTATTACCCAAACCTTTTGTGAGTTTGGAGCAAAAGCACCAAACATACATAACCAATCTCGTTGATGTTTGGTTATCACACATTATTTCACCTAGGAAGTATTCAAAAAGTAGATTACTTCACATTTAAACATGGACGATATCATTGACAAACAAGAATATTGATGATCCGATTCAATAATATTATCGGATTCTTAATACACGCTTTGTTGCGAAATTTAACATGAATAGATACTAAGAAATCCGCCATTTTTTAGATGAGAATTGAGTAGTACAAAGACGGAAAATAAACAACACAAAGTCACAAACACTGAAACACATGATGCATACTTTTATTCAGTGCAACAGTATGTTAGAAATGATGGTGGATGGAAATTGTGCCGTTTGACTGTAATCATGCATATCCATATGCATGAGGACTACTGGGCTGGCGTGAGTTGATCAGCAGGTGGTGGGCTCAGGCCCATATCATTCTGAGTGCGGTGACATTTGGGCCATGGTCCCTGAGCTTCGAAGCCACGTCGGGTGCAGCATCGGCCCATTCCCCGAGCCAGGAACAAGCCCAACAGAGTCCCCGCGGCAAACGTCACAACTAGGGATGGCAATGGGTCGGGTTGGGTCGGGTTCTGCAAAACCCAAACCCAAACCCATGGGTTTATTCTTGAAAAAAATCCGGGGTAAAACCCATTGGGTTTCAAAAACTCAAACCCAACCCAACCCGCTGGGTATCCGCGGGTTCATGGGTATCCACGGGTTTTTGTCGTAAAAATTTACAATAACAAGAAACTATCAAAATTAAAGTCAAATATCAATCTCTTAATACAAATTATCCATATACAAAACCATTCTAGAAAATTCAAGTAAATCACAAATTAACTATACAAAATTTTCAACACCAATTTAGAAAACTCAAGAAAATTGAAGCAAATCACAAATTATCCATAAATAGCATGATTAATTGAAAGTTTCTTCCTTTCAATTAAGTTTTTCACTCTCTACTCGATAACATCAACTTAATTCTACACAATTAGAAAGAAAAAATTAGACATGTCTGCACAAACATTAATAAGATTAGTTGCTTAGAATATCAAATATACCGAGAAAATTAATTATATAGGTGTGGGCGGGTACCCACGGGTCGGGTATACCTAAACCCAAACCCAACCCAACCCGATGAATAGTGAACGGGTTTAAACCCAAAACCGGCCCAAAACCCGTCAACACGGATTTTACCCGCGTTGACCGGGTTGGGTCGGGTGGGTACCCGTGGGTTCGGGTTTTGTTGCCATCCCTAGTCACAACTGGCTTCATTTTGCAATCAGCTGCTCACTTAATCGGCCACAGACTCTAAAGCTGGCTTACAATAGTGATAATAACAATAACGATGATGATGATAATCTGAACTGAGAAATGTTCCCTCTTTGTTTTTGTTTTTCGTGGAGGTTCTGAGTTCTGATGGACAATCAAATATTTGCAGGTTGAAGTTGCTTTTAAAGCAGGAAGGGCAACGTGAGTCAGGCCATGGTTCAAGTCCTTGGCCAGAACGGCAAGGCTCTTTTCATCATTGGGACCTCAGCAGCACAGCACTTGGAGAATAAGGCAGAGAAGTTTGACTGAGGCTTTTTAAAATAATAATAATAATAATAATAGACCACTGTTAGACGCAAAATCTTGGAAACTGGAATCGTGTATTATTCTGAAGGCTGTCAAACAGGTTTATTTGGTTATTATGGTTCGGCAAGTGGTATGGTGGTATTGTATGACTAGTGTTACAATTAGTTTATCTTATGTCAGTTTTAGCAAAATATGTAGCAAGTGGACATTATTAGCAAAATGAATTTGGGGTCGTTTGGATGTGGAAATTTGAAAACGTTGGAATTTGCATGAATTTTCATGTTTTACAAAACCAAGGAATTGACTTGGTGGAAATTGAATGAAATTCCACGTTTGGATAGGGTTTATTTTTGTGGGAACGATTGTGTGAAATTTGGTGAAATACAAAACTGCCCTCTTTTGTTTGTATACATACCTTTTCTAAAGGTTGTTGTGTTCTACTAACTACTAATTGTTGATACTAATTAATAATGATGCTAACTATCAATTAGTGTGTCTAGAAGTTCAACATCATAAATGTTCTAACTACCTAATTATAAATGCGGCTAACCACAACCAGGACAAATGTTCGACTGAACAACCTAAAAGTAAGGACAATCAATAAATAAGAGCGAGTTCAACAAACTAATACAAAATCAATCTTGAAAAATTGTCGTTTAAACATTCAATCTTGGAAACTGCCGAGATTTTTCACTAGTATGGGAGCTATAACATTTAGTATGTCGGGTCTCATCCAAATTTTCACAGGCATCGACTATACCCTGTGCTCATTGGCTCTAATCCAATCGAGGACTTTCCCTCCATATCCATCTCCAGTCCATGGTCGTTGTCCCTCTTTCTTTAGATTCCCCCCCCCCCCCCTTACATGTCTTGTTTCTGTTGCATTGGCTCATTCCTCTTGGTCGATATTCCAATTAAGCAAATCTCATGAGGAGAAGCAGGAAAATCGACGATGGATGAGATATTTAAGCGAATCAAAAAATAAGAAATCGATGACGGATGAGATGAGAGGAAATATACAAAGGTGAGGAAATATTAAATGAAGAAGAGGGTGTTTTTGTAAGAAATAACTTGGAGAAATCGGGAAAGGAGTAAGGAAGAAAGGATAAAGGGAAAATTTTGGAAAATTGAAGAGAGCGTGGTAATGTCAAATTACTAGGGGGAGGGGTATTCTCAATTACCATGAATATGGTAATTGAGACCAATTTCCATGGCCCAATTCACATACCATTTTGCTCCCTCGAACATGGGTTTTTAATCCAATTACTGCATTATATGATCATCTTGAAAATAGGTTGTCATCAGTCCTTTTCATGCGTCCTACCTTCAGTTCATAAGAATATGTGTCTTGTGGTTCAAGAAGCGGTGACAAATCATAATATAGTATGTACACGATCTTCAAAGTAGTCAACAGAAACTTCATATTCTCTTGTCAGCGGGTAAATTGGTTCCATAAAACCGATTGAGATTGTTGGATTCGGAATAATACATTTTCAAAGTAGTCTCCATATCATAATTCATTTTTATTCACGAATAAATACTCTATATTTTTAGAAATAGAGATCATAATTGAAGGTGTAATCCGGTCACTCTCGTCAAAGTATTTATTTGCCCCACTACAATCACTAATACGATTAGGCAAACCATCCTCAAAAATCAAAATCTGAAGCAATGACTTGCATATTTATGTGTTTGTGAAAAAGAGAAGAAAAACGAGAAGAGAAGATGAACACCTCTTACAAAAATTCATTAGCCAGGTAAAGTGATCAAAAGTTTTATAATCCCCCTGCACTCCTTTTTCTTCCGTATTTCTATACTTGAAGGCCAACTCTAAGATAGTCTAAATACTCATCCAATTCTGGGTCTCTCCCAAGGCAGCTTTGCCCTCATTCTTGACTGCTGCTAGTCTTCAGTCTCCACTATCTACTTTGTTCAATGTTCACCTGAGTATGAAATTCTTCCCCAACCACGGCTTCCTTGACCCTCTAGCTTCGGCACTCCTTCAAACTGGTGCTACATGAGACCATCTTGCCACCGGAGCAGCATCATCATGGCCGTGCTTTGTGTCAATTTTGGCAACAAGCCGTGACGTTCGTTGTAAAAGTAATATGTAGATAACAAGTTCTTAGGTGGCAAAGGCTAATTTCTGTAACCTAAAAGCATTAATTTCAGCCAAAACTTAAGGAGCTCTTTGTTAGTTTCAACATCCACAACGAGCAATGAAAAGTCAAGCAGGCACATTTCATTTTGTTCTCAGATAAGAGGAGGGCATGATCACCATCATTCAGACTAAGTGAAAGCCAACTACAACAAAGTGCGCAATTGAAATTGCTCCCGAGCTCGAATAAACATGTTTAGATCAGAACTGAAACTGCATCTCGGGGGTATAGCCAATCGCTTCAAGGTGTGCTGCCATGGCCTTGTTCATCGGTGGTGGTCCACACCTAAGAATCTGCACATTTGCATCGTTATATGGTTAGCAGCTGATGAAGTTGATGGCATAGCAGGAGCACTGATGAATGACATAATGCACAGTAGAAGCAAGGAACTCAGCAAAGGTTACCTGGATATCAGCTGCTGGAGCTGGCAAATGGGTTTGAATCATTTCCTTTGAAACAAAACCAACACCACCATTCCAAACCTCTGGGGGCTGCATTTCAGTGTGTGTCCATATCATTATTTAACTAAAGCCATAAACAAAGGCAACCATATCAACAGACGGATCAGAGAGGTAAACAGTGTAACAACGAACCTGATTCAAGACATAGTAGATCTTGAAGCTGTCAGGGTATCGAGAAGCAAGACCTTCCAATTCTTCCTGCAAATTAAATTGGGGTTACAGTTAATTACTGAGTTTAACAGAAGAGGGTCTTTGACTATATGAAGAAAGAAACTGAACATTTAGAAGAAGAGTGCAGCTTGATTTTTACTAGAATGATGGTCCAACAGAATCCTGATTTTACCGCCAAATCAAGTAGTAAACTCTAGACCAACAGTAGACCTAGAAGAATTGGAACGCTCCCTTCCAGCTGTTTTAAAGCCTTTTACAGACTTTTTAGCTGGACAATTTGAGTTTTTTCATTTTTGTACATCATCAACTTAAAATGCTAGCAGGACAACCACATTACCTTTAACAAAATGTCATCATGTGTTACGTTGGCATAAATAAGATGGACCTTCGTCTGGTCTTTCGGGTTTTCCAGTATGGCTCTGGCAACCTGAAGGAGGAATTAACAAAATTAAATCTTATATAAATCTTCGCCAAAAGTAAAGTGGCACCCAGAATAACTCATCAATAAATAAAAAACGAGAGGTGTGTGGATACTAACAGCCGAAAAGTTAAGTTTCAGAGCGTACTTGGAACATTGGTGTAATGCCAGAGCCACCAGCAAGCATTCCAAAAGCTCTAACTTGGCCAGGTTGGTATCTAAAACGCCTCTGTTTACCAGTTAAATTTCAGACATTGTCAGCAACAGAACTGAAACCACTCTTCCTATGATGGAAATCGTCATAGTGAAGCAAAATACACAATGGTACAACTAACAATAAGCAACACCCCTGGAGGATGCTCAATACTGCAGGAAATTGATATCCGGAATTAAAGTAATCGAAGTTTATTTTTAGAATATCAATGCAAAAGAAAACAGGGCGCAAAAGTGGATTCTACATTATTGAGGAAATAGACCTTGTACCTTGGGTCCTTTCACAGCGAGACTTTCGCCTACACGCATCTCTCTGAAATGGTGGGACATTCTTCCTTGTGGATACATCTAATTTAGAAGGAAATCCAAATTAAGTTAAGCAGTTCAAATTGATCAAGAAGTGACTACTAGCGTGGTCCAACTGGAGCAAAATGAACAGTCCCTTCTTTGTAACCTCCCCTTGTGTGATCAGCCTTAGAATGATAAAAAAAATGTGACCTTTTCTAGCAGCAATTGCTAACAAGATCGAATAACAGGACCCAATTAACTATGGCAAATCAGTAGTTTCCAACATCACAGCCCATTTGTTGCATGAAAAGACAGTGTTCAAGTTGAGGTAACGAAGTCAAGTGAAGGAAAGATCGTGCACCTTAATAACTAACTCAAAAGATCCAACATCAGAGTCAAGCGTAGTTGGAGTATAGGGTTTAATAACTTCCTCTCCCTGACTATCCTTGCCCCTGCAAGAGAGAAAGCTGTATAAGAACCAAGCTATGACAAATAAACAGGCCAAAAGCAAAGACCCAACTACATCAGCCGCAGTATTATTTCTCTATTATCACGGTTGATGCAGAACAAATTCTGACGACCAATACCACGTCAAGAAATTTGCAAATGCGGGCTATGCCTAACATGAATAATCAATCATTTTGACAAAGAAGGATCATGAAAAAACCTGCAACTAATATGCTGACCAATAGGCAAGCCCAAAACTGAAGTTGGAGTAGGCAGTGCAAACGTGAACTTGGCCACATTATGGCTAAGCTGCGTGCGCTTGACGAGTTTAAAGTCCCTGAAGTTCTCAGGGTCTAAGACACCTGTAAAACAAATTTATTTTTAAGTTACCGGACAATTAAACATTGAACAGTCGATCAAAACTATTGTGCATCCTACAGTTCAGCTAGATCATCTGGAACCCAATCCCCAATTATTCCCATTGAAACAAGTCCTTATCACACAGCCTCAAACTAGACAATTAGAAGCAGCTAAAACATGCATAATTTGTCACAAAGTTTGCAACTTTGTGAGAACCCATCTCTCAGAAATAACAACAAAGGTAAACCCAGCCGAGAAGAGGAAGCAAAACAGAGATGTCAGAAGTCCAAACCTCTAGGTTTCCTGGAAGAGAAGAGGAAGATAGCACCAATGGCAATGGCGACAACAGCCACTGCAACTCCCACGAGGATCTGAGGGTCAACTGTCCGCAGGAATTCCAAATCCATCCTAGCGATAGTTGAGCGATCCCCCAAAACCCACGGTTTTCCCAGGCAACTTGCCACCCAGCTGAAGGCAAGCAAATTTATACGAGGGGGTTGGGGGCGTCTCTCAGTCTCAGCTGTGGGTGAAAAAAACAAGGGAAAGACTGAGAACCGGATTCGAATCAAAACTGGGGGCTCGAATGAAAGAGAATCGGGGTCGGGGATGGGGTTTTGTGAGTTAATTATGTGTGTTTTATTTGAAAACTTGGTAGGTGAAGAAATTTGGAGGAGGCATGAGACAAGATGGGAGTGATTTTGGTAGAAGCAGAAAATTGGCGGGGCTTTCAGGAAATTCTGGTACACCTACCAACAACACCACAGTCCATCCACAAACACTCACGCCTGGGAAGTTCACTTGTCACGTGCCTATTTCTAGCACGATTGGGCTGAGTGGTCACGGTTTGGTGAGTAGTGCTCCGACTGCCGAATCAGCCTTTTCAGTGTTTGGTTTTGATGTTACATCCCAACTTTTCAGCGTATAAACGGATTAAGAAACTTCGTGATGTGAATGTGATAAAGGATGCTGATTATGATTTGATGAGGAGGTTAGATCGGTGTAAGATAAGTTACATAATTTTAGTGTGTTTAACATGAGCAATCAAATTTGAAATCTTATTTTTTAAGTCGCTGTAGATATAAGGGTTGTAAATTAAATATATTTTATTTTTCTATTTTTCTTAATTAGATCATATATTTTTCATTCTAACTCGGATTTCAAATTTTTTTTTTTTGCATAGATGGAACGAGTTCGTTGTGTTCTACAAAATGAGATCCATTTTCAATATTTTTTTAGAAATTTTTTTCATACCTCTCGTTACCAACTCCATATCATATGGTATCTCCTTCGTTTTTAGTCGTTTTCGGAATTTTTTGCATATAAGAAACGATTTAATCATGATCTATTAGATTTCAAAGTTTGATGGGTAAAAAATTTTATGCCTCTCATTACTAACTTCATACCATACTACTAGGGTGGTATTTTTCATACCATATGGTATGCTCTTACTTAATACCAGTCAATTAGGGATGACAAAAATATTCGTAACCGTGGATATCTGCCCAAATCCGGCCTGATCGAGTAGGGTAAAATTCGAACCGGAACAAACATTTAGTGGGTATAGGTAAAACCCGAACCCGAATATGTGGACAATGGGTGGGCATGGGTTTCTCACTATCCACCCCGAACACGCCCGATTATACACATGCATATGTATTTTGACTAGAAATAATCATTATTTTTCTCTAACATATTTTATATTTAGCATATAAATATAAATTTTCAAGAAATTGTGTTGTTTTAATTAATTTTCTTCATTCTAGTGAATTATTGTCGTATTTTTCTCTTATGTAACGTGAGAATACATGTAAATGTTAACATATTGGTTGAAGTTATGAAGAGAAATTATTACCCATGGATAACCGTGGATACCCGAAACTCGAACGAGTATGAGCGTGGTTTTGATTTTCTACCCGTTTCTCATGTGGGTATGGGTATGGGTAAAACACGAACTACTTTGGGTAGGGTAACATATATGCACTATCCGTCCTCGACCCGCCCATTTCCATCCCTACAGTTAATACCATATGGTATAGACGGGTAATAACTAGCTCAAATTTTGTTGTTCCAAAATATATAATAGTGGATATCATTTTGAAAAGTACAATTAATCTGATCTAACTGTGCAAAAAAAAAAATTAAATTCCGACTTAAAACGAGCGAGAAATCGTCCTTTAAAGATTAAGGGGAGAAAATTAAAGGCTTTCCTATAGAGATAAGGGTCGCTGATGTGGCGGATTCTGATTGAGTTATATGCATGGGGTTATTGACCACAAGGTTATGCACTTGATTCGCTCCCTGTACTAGAGATGACAATAAAATTCGAACCCATGGGTATACTATCTGACTCAATCTTATCAAAACAAGTAAAACTTGTATTGATGGATTGCGGGCCGAATTCGGATTTAAATTCATGACACTGTTCAATGGGTTGGAGTTAGATTTAGATATACCCGGCTCATGCATACCCGCCCATACTCATATTCTCAGACCAACTTCAATTCAAGCCCCCAAATTTGGAGATCTTCATCCCCAAATTTGGGGTTCATCCCCATTTTTCCTTCTTTTGCTCCAATGCTACATCCTCTATTTTTGGAGATCTCCATTTTTTAAGTTTTCCAATTACTTAAAAATGTACTTATCGAAGCCTTAATATAATTTGTTCATGTTAATTTTTGTATAGTTCGTCATCATTTTTAAATACAAATTTTCCGGTAGAAATTTTTTTAATTTTGAGACCAAATTTTTGTTGACAAAAAATAATGACCTAATTTGGGTTTACACACAACACTTGAAAATTATTGATCTAATTAAAGCACTAACTAATCCTCTAATTAAACCCCAATTAACCCTTAAACTCTTAAAAAGAAAAAGAAACGCCACGTGGCGGGCTTTGGGGAGTCTCTATATTTGGGGGAACTCCCATTTCCACCCCTAAATTTAGGGATCCTTTTGGAGATCTCCCCCAAATATAGAGACTCCTCCATTTATAGAGGCTCCATTGGAGCCAACTTTCCCCCAAATATAGAGGCTCCCCCATTTATAAAGGCTCCATTGGAGTTAGCCTCACAACCCGTCGAACCTCCTTCCCCGTTTAACCCAAAATACTAATCCCCGGGAGCGGATTAGGTCAGTTACCTTAGGGAAAGTAACCATGAGTAACATGTCCACATCAGCGTGACATCAACATCCCTCTCTCTCATAGAATGCCTTTTATCTTTTCCCTTCCAATCTTTAACGGACGATTTTTCTCTCGATTAATTGTACTCTTTAAAATGGTATCCACTTTGATATATTTTTAGAACAAAAAAAAAGTGAGTAATTTATTACAAGTCAATATCATATGGTATTGAATAGGAGCAAATCATATGGTAAGAAAGCGTACCATGATGATATGAACATACCAAGACTGTAGGAAGGTTAAATACATGATATTAGGAGTATACTAACTGTCATTTAGGATTTTCATCATTGTTTACCATAAGTTACCACCCACATACCAGGGTGGTAAAGTATAGTAATTTTTAGTCATGTATTTTTTTCACCTAGAAATTTGTAGATCCAAATAGATCATGATGAACTCATTCCTTCTGAGAAAACGTTTTAAAAAACGACTTAAAAACGAAAGAAGTTACCATATGGTATGGAGTTGATAACGAGAGGTATGAAAAAAGAAATTTCTCATAAAATATTGAAAATTGATATCATTTTGTAGAGCACAAAGAACTCGTTCCATCTGTGAAAAAAAAAAATTCGAGTTAGAACGAAGAAGATAAGGGCAGATTAAGAAACTAGGGAAAATAAAATGCATTAAATTCTCCACCCTTAGATCTAAATTTTCTGGGGCCACTTAAATCTAATGGTTGAGATTTGGTTACTCATTGGTTAGTAAACAGGGTTACTGACCGTATCCTAAGCCCTCCAAAACCCCTACTCTCCGCCGGTGGCCGGTCTCTTCCAGTGGCGGAGGCAGGATTTGAAACTACCCTGTCCTCTTTTCAGAATATAAATATATTAATATTTAATTAATAGATATATAATAAATATAATCAAAACTAATGATATTCAGATGATTAAAATAAAAAAAAACCTAAGACAATCATTGTTTTCATATTCCGAAAGAAACGGAAAGTACATTTGTTGTCTCAAGAAAGTCGATTTCATTGTATCATACTAAACAACCATTAGTAAACTAGTTGTCATTTCGACTTAGAAGTTTGTTCTGAACATAGTTCAAAGCTGAAAAATACTCTCTCTACACTTACAATTGCAACGGGTAGAATCAAAACTAGTGAATTGCCACTGCGGCTGGACTGCTTCAGGGTTTATGTGCAAAAAGTCGATTAGGCATAAGAAAAAAGAGATATGATTAGGTCTTTATTCCAATTTGGATTTTGTTTGTTATAATATATTAGTTTTATGTCAATTTATAAAGAAGTAATGAGTTGTAATCATATATGTGGTATTTTTTACGTTACAAAACTTACCCCTGTACCGGGACAATGCCCAATAGAGCTAGCTCCGCTTATGGCCTCTTTCGACTACCAACTCTCATTAGTCATTTCCCCAAAATCCCAACTACCACACACAACATACATACGTTTGTTTGGCCTTCAGCTTGAGCTCGACTCATTAATAAATAAGTTTAGCTCGAGCTCAGCTCATTTATTAACGAGCCGAGTCGAGTTTGAGCTAGCTTGCTTAATAAAATTTTGACTTGTATTTTATATATTCATTTTGTATGTTATACATGATACATGTGATTAATGTCCAGATAAAAATAAAAATAAAAATAGTTAAGTGTTCAATATTAACTAATCTCAATTCTCATGTTATACTTTGTGTGGTATCAAATTATTTAGTTAAGAAATTTTAACTGGTGAAAATTATGTTATTTCATAGCATCGAAACAATTTATGATACATAATTTCTTTTTAAAATTAGACAAGACATATTTGCTCACATAATCTACGTGTTAAACTTTATATATGCGTGAAATATATAATTTAACAATTCTATGAATTATCAAAATCAAACTCATATAGATCGATTCGCTCATAATTAGATAATCGAGTTGGCTCTCTAGCCACAATGTTGCGAGTTGAGACATCTCATGAGCTATAAACGAGCTAGCTCACGAGTTGAGCTCAACAAGCCACCGAGTCGAACTAGCTCGCTAGCTCCGCGATCTACAGAAGTCTAAGCTCCAACTCAGCTTATTAGTAAACGAGCTAAGTTTCGAACAAAATTTTTCTGAGCCGAGCGCCAAGCCGCTCATGAGCAGCTCGACTCATTTGCAGCCCTACTTACATCCAAACTTCCGTCTATTCCTTTCCTTTCAGAGCTAATAATTTGAAGATTAATCATTGTCACTTGGCGTCGTTACAAGTTTCACTTGGCCAAAACTGCTTATGCAATATTGCCTGGTTAGGCTATGCTCAATGACTTCTATTAATGCAGACTGACACACCCAGATCCCTAATTTTGCTACTGCAGGCAACCCAGATCCCTAAAATTGTGATGAGACGGTACCAACCTGTGCTTACAATGAGCCTGCCTGCATATTTAGCCCAATTCAGATTGCTGACATGCTGGGAAAATGCATCCTCTATGAACTTATACATAGCCAACGGTCCATCAACAAACAATTGACCAGTATTATTACAGTTGCAGTGAATAAGGAGGGCAGGAACCAGAAGACTCCTTCCAGATATGCTCTAATCTTCGAGTAAACTCTTTCTCCCTCCCCATAATCACAGAGGTATGATCAGCATTCCACACAACATCTAACGTCAGTTGCTTATCATTGTCCCAAAACTTCCTCTTCATGTTTACGCTGCACTGCAATGGAACAACAGGGTCCTGATCGCCATGAACCACAAACACCTTCGCTCCGGATCTCGACACCATCTCCAAGAACTCATCCATACATCTCGCCCCGCCACAGATCACATTGTGCATCGTGTGCCACGCCGAATGATGGGTGTGCCTCGTCAAGTCTCGCAGCATGAAATGTACGTTCCTACAGTGCACAAAACAAACATAGCGACACACATTGATCTCGATCTTCCACATCCCTATAAACCCAGAGTCTACGGATATCATAATCAACGCTAACCTGCTTCGCGTGAGCAGCATCAGCAACTTCTCCCACGCTCTATGGTTTCTGCAAACCAGGAAGCAGACGCAGCGGCCCAAGTGCTCGTACCACGACATCAATGCCGCCCCAAACATCAGCGGCGGCCAGAGTCTCTTCTTCGCGATCTTCTCAAGTGCTCTCAAACTTGACTCTTCTTCTTCCGATCTCGCTAAGTAAGGCTGCATCAATCATCCATTGGACTCAAAACCAATTACCAAGTCAACCTTCAACATTTCCGTAGTTGTCTACCACTTGAGTACAGTAGATGCTCACTTACAGGCGCTACGAGGGTTATGGATTTCACATATCCAGAGTACTTAGCCGCGAGGGCCAAGGCTATAATGCAGCCCATTGAATGGGCGACGATGTGGAAGGACGTGAGTTGAAATGGCTTCACAACTGAGTCTTCAATTGTCTCCAAGTGGTCTTGCAGTGTGTAGAGACAATCCATCGGCTTGGGACTTTCACCGAAACCTAAAAGGTCGATTGCAAACATTCTGTAGTTCTGATTTTTGGAGAGATTGGGGAATACAGTTTCAGTCCAGTAGGAGGATGAAGCGAGGAACCCATGTACAAATATCACATTCTCAATCGATTCTCCAGAGCCAGCCGCTGTAGAATGTCAAATTCCAACCACAAGGACATCAATGATAGAGCACAAACGTTTTTACGTTAATGGGGTGTTAAGGTGTTATTTCAGCAATGAATTACCTGAAGAGAACGGCTCTCTAACCACCACATGCAATTTCCGGCCATCACCGTTCTTCGTCCAAGAAACACACGACTCGCACCGACAATCCGACCATCTTCCGGCGGCGGTGCCGCAGTCGTCACTCGACTTCTTGCAATCCACCGGCTGAAGTTTGAGTCTTTTGGACGGAAGACGAGCACCCATTAGCCTGAACACATTTCTTCTACCCCACATCGTCTCTGACAGCTGAATCTCGCCGTTATTTCTGCCATTCCCGTCTCGCTTTTCACAATAGCATGGCTTTTTCCTTTTCCCTTCCAGATACTCGTCGACGAACCTGTAAATTAAGCAGAAAACAGCGTCGAGAAGGTCTAGAAGCAGGAAGACGACGACGGTGAGCACAGAGTGGAGAGCTCCAGCGATGGTTGAAACCAATTTCCCTGCAATAGCCCACACATTGCTCTGAAGAGACATGGATCGGGCAAAAGCTAGAGAATGGTTTTCAATTGGACCAGAAAATAGAGGAACAAAATCACAGGCGACGGTTAACGAGGATGGACTTTCTCGAAGTTTGTCAAACCTGCGATGATTATGAGGCCACGTCACTTGAGGTATCCATGAGCTCACATGATTATTCAGCCGCCAGGGCAAGTAACAACAAAAAACAATAGCGAAGGATCAACTTCTTTACTGTAAAAGGAATCCAAGAACAATGTTACACAACAATACAAGAAGTGGGCGACGATTTTCTCTATAATGTTTTGGCTTCCGTTTTTCTACTGAGAATCATCGCCGCCTTCGTTTCTAGGCGGCTGATCGGAGCTAACAATCGGAAGGTTCCGTCTGTACTGGGTAGATGTCAACCTTCTCTCCAGCGGCGTCTTCCTTTTGCTCACAACGAATCGGTTCACGCCTTTCCGCATTGGCATTATCGACGGGAAATCTTCATCGGGAATCTGGCTTAGCTCCGATATGTCCTTAATTTGAGCCACCCGTTTGAACCACCTCTCCGCTTTAGCCTCCTCAGACATATCCAAAGGATCGGGGTCTGCCTTCACCGCCGAACCTTCCAAGCTCTTCCCACTCCACCCAGATGGTTCACTAATGCTTCCCGCCACGTTCGAACTGGGTTTTGACATATATCGTACTGAATTTTGCTGGGCACGCATCGAATTTGTTTGGTTCTCCGAACCATGAGTTGAGGCTGCATTCGAAGCTCCAGGTCTAGGGTTGCTACCCGAACTCTCCGGTGTCCAACGGGTTGGTTGACCTCTGTTTCCCGACAGATTCATATTTGGCGGGATTTGTGTTGAACTTTGCTGTGCACCAATAAAATTCGGTTGATTTTCAAAACCATGAACCGAGGCTGAATTCGAAACTCCAGTTCTGGGGTTGCCGCCTTGATTCTCCGGATTCCAACCAGATGGTTGACTTCTGCTTCCCGCCGAATTCAAATTCTGATCTGGCGGGGTTAGCGTTGACGGTTGCTGTGCGCCCATTAAACCAGGAACCCTTGCTGCATCCGAAAATCCAGGTCCGGGATAGCTAGCCGAACTCTCTGGCGTGGAAGAATTGGGAGTTTCAATGGCCATGTTCGCTGACCCCTGCCCGCTTTGCTGTTGTTGATCAACCTTCTTGGCAAAGTAGTTGGGAGGGAAGGGCACGAAAGGTACATAATTTGTATCGTTTGCTTGCTCCATGGCCGCGCGTCTCTTGTACAGGGGAGAAGTGAGAGACCGATCTTTCTTCTTCGGAACTACAAATCTGTTTTCGCCCTTGCGCATTGGCATGATGTCAGGGAAATCAACATCTGCCAACGCACTATCCACGTCTGCCACATTATGTAGCTCTGCAACTTTCTTGAACCAGCTATCAGAATTATCACCTTGTTTGTCCTCGAACACACTCTGCTCACCAGTGCTTGAAGCAGGGGGCCTAAAGTTATCTGAAGAGATGGTAGAAGCGCATGAGATTAGGAATTATCTGAAGTGTCACGCTTGAAAATGTGCTTATCTTTTAGAGAAAGTGAAACAAACACATCCGTAATTTCAGTCAGAGATTAGGAGCTTATACCTGTAGGTTGAAGCCTGTTGCTATCATTCCCCAAGGCTTTTTGGTTTTGAGCATTGCTCAGCCTTCTCTCAAGAGGAGTCTTCCTTGTGCTTACATTAAACATATTGCCTCCTTTTCTCAAGGGCATGATTTCAGGGAAATCTTCATCGGGTATAGCACTGTTGATGTCTGAACTATTGTCCATCTGAGACATCTTACTAAACCACCGCTGTGCCTTCTCTTCATTGGCAGCCAAACGGTTATCAATATCACCGCCATTTGATTGGGTTCCATATCCAGACTCGAGACCTGGTCCAGAACCCATGGTCCTTAGTGATACTTCCCCGGGGCGCTTGCAGTCACACCTTATGCATACCATATTCCTCCCATAATTGAAGTAATCACATCTACATGAAAGAGTTTCGGATAATAATTTATAAAAAATGAGGATAACCCCAGAGCAAGACAAAATCAAGGCTAAATCTACGAAGAAACTGCTTACTCAGGACACTCCCACTCTCCCCCAGTAAGCTGTCTCTTCGGGCGTGCTTCTTCACAATCAAGACACTTGATGTTCCTCGCAAAGTTCATAAAATTACACCTGCCCAACAACGGGCAACAACCAATGTAATTTACCAATGAGTTTTACGCTTTAATTCCTCAAAGCACTTCCATACCTTGACACCACCAAAATAAGAATCCAGTGAAGCAAAGCACAACAGATTCAAGGCAAAGAACTTACCTTGAACAAATCCAGTCACCTTTCTTCATTTCAACATTTGGTCCAACCGGACTTGGTCCTGGAACATTTCTCTCTAAGAACTGATTTCGCGCAGCTGGAGATGGTTGAAAACTAGGAATGCTGTTATAGCTGAACTGGGACAACTGACCCAATATGTTACGAACAGATAACTCAACCTCTTGCTTGCTATCTATGTTCATGTTCCCAAAAGGCATAACATTGCCAGCATAAGTCACTAAGAGCTTCATCAAATCAACTGTCTGCGCTCTATCCGTGCTAGGCACCTAAAATATTCATAGTACGATTGTACATTAGCTCTGAAACCGGCAATTCATCGATATTCAATGCTGAATCGTTGACTGAATTTTGTACTCACACTTAAACAGAAAGCATCATCGTACATAAAAGCAAGAGATAGCACAATGACAGCTAACACTTACGTTTCTGCTCTGTCCATCCAGAAACAGCTGCATTCTTCTGACCAGCTCCTCGCCATTTTTGAACAGCAAAAGAGGCATGCCATTGGTAATTACCGTTGCAATATCTCTTCTGGACAGCAGCCTATAAATTGAAGATACAAACGGAAAGAATGAATTCAAGGTGGATGTAGAATTGAAAAACAGAGAAACAATATGCCTAGAATTGAATTGCTTTCTCGAATGAAAAAAATTCGGACCCCAAAATCTCAGGCCTGTCACGCCCGAAAGCCAAGCAAGCAATGGTAGTTCTCACGAACTCATCAGGCAAATTCGTCGGATCCACGAACTCTTCAATTTCCGAGTCAATCACCTGGCGATTAAAATACCCCAAAGCAGAGATATTTTGGAGGAAATTGGACCATTCCGGCCACTGATGGAACACCGGAGGCGGCTGATGTGATGAATTGGACGATTGACCGGCAAAGGTGGCCTGGGCGTAAAATTGGCGCGAGGATTTAGCTCGGAAGGAGGGAGGAAGAGACGGAGTCGAGGATTGAAGGTTGTGACTGCAGCGGATGCGGTGAGGGATGGAAGAGAAGGAGAGCTGACGGCGGCGGTGGCGGCAGGCAAGGCGGAGAAGAGCCGGGCATTGGCGGTGGTGAGGGAGGAGAAGCGGGGAGGAAGAGGTCGTGGAGGTGAGGAGAGTGAATAGCCAGGTGGCACCGCCCATCTCTCTAGTGTTCAACGGCCGGCGAATGTCATAGAAGCTCCGCCGGGCAAAGTTGATGTCGGCGTACGGTTGTTGACGACGACACCGGTTTTCGAGCTCTAAAAGACTAAAACCCTATCATCTGCTGAGAAGAACGGGATTTCAGCCTCACTTTAGCTGGATAAAATATCTCATCAAATCAGCTAGGGTCGTTTGTTGGTTGGGCTGGCCCATAAAGTAAGGAGCAGTGTGATGGCCCAAACTACCTGACCAGAAAATGGCTTCACGTTTTGGGCCGCCCAGGAGACAGTATATTGGCAGAATCAATTTGTCTGTATCGATGATGATGAACGGAGCATTCCCCAACAAAGAGAGAGAAGATACCTCCCGCAATCGCATTCTCCTGATGCATTGTTCTGTCTCAGTCGGCGATGAGATTTTGGAAGGCTAATTTGTCAACCGGCGATCAAGGAACTATAAAAGGAGTGGGCAAGCCATGTTAATTCCTCACCCAACACACACCATACAAAAAGCAGCTAATAGGGTCATTTGGGAGGAGGAGAGTGTACATAAAAAAGCTCAAAACAGAAAGAAACAGAGAGTGAAGCACAAAAAAGAAGAAGAAGGAAAACATGGATTCCGGATCAAAATTGATGGTGGTGGCAGCTTTCCTGCTCTTAACCATTTCGAGCTTCCTCGTCGTCGACGCGAGGCTTGCAGACACGAGCATTATCAGGGGACCGGATTGTATCGGTAAGTCAGAGGATCAAGAGTACAACGGCAAAGTGGCTCGTCTTATCAACATATTCGTCGACGAGACGAAAAATGTGCAGCGCAGCCATCACAGCGATTACAGTTACGTTCACAGCTACCCGAATCGTGACAACGGCTCGGTCATCGGAGGCGCTACCTGTGACAGGCACCTTTGGAAGCTGGATTGTTGGGCGTGTTTGGTCACTGCTAAGAACAAACTCAACAGCAATTGCGAGCATACCCTTGATGCTAGGCTCGAATTGGCAGATTGTTCCATCTGGTACAAAATGATCCAATAACTTCACTCTGTGTTTCTGGATATATTTGTATAAATGTGCGTCTCTCCTTCCCCTACTCCTGTCAGCCCGTTATGTTTTTTGTTTTACCCGTCTGCTGCTTTGGTTGTGTTTGGGTCTATCTTTATCTTATCTTGCTTTCCGCATTTAATAAGGTTCCCGAACGTGTGGAATCTATTACGAGCGGAAACTATCAGTACTTGTCTATGATGCATATGTATTTTTCAAATTGATGATTAATGAAATCTTACATGACATGTTCATATTAATTATTATGAATATTAGTGTCAATCTGCTTCAAATTGTGAGGACATGGAAAACAAGTGGAAGTAGTTGATAACTCAGTTCATATCAAACTAATATATGTTGGTAGATATTAAGTGGGTACACCGCACAATGTAATCAAAACTAATAACAGATGAGTGAACTTTTACCTAATATCCTTTAAAATCATCGAATTCTCATTCTTACGAGAAAATGTTGCCTCGTCAAGGATTTAACCACCAGGAATGGTTGATCTTGTAGATACCACATTTTGTCTGTGTTGAAACATATTTAATTAAGTAAAATGAATATGTGTCTAAGGTTTGCGAAAGCTAATCTTTAGTGACATTTTAGCTAAAAACATATTTGTAGGACTTGGGTTGGGTCTTGTTTGTCATAACTCAATGAGTTTAAGCAAAAGAAAATCTAAATCGATACTATTTTACGGTATTAGACAAATTAAACAATTGCTCGATTTGATTTTCTTAAGACATTGATTGGGCTTGACGAGGTTGGATCTCGACTTTTGCAATAGAAAAAGAAACATAGTAATTTATTCTATTAATAACAATTGCATTACAAATACTAAATAAAATTTTCAGTTTCAATTACTAAATAAATGGAGCGTTACAGTGAATTACAATAGTAATTACAAGTTGTATAATAAAATAAATAGGGCCCAAGTCAAAGCCCAAACCCAAAGTTAACAAAAGTCAACTCGAGTCCGACTTAGTCAGCCAAGTCAAAGCCTGATGTCAAGCCCAACAATCCAGGCCTAACCACCTAGGTTCGACCCATTATGCAAAATCGATAACGTGGACAACAGGAGCCCTACGCTTATGCATCAAATTCTATACCCGAGCTCTCCCATTAGAAAATGAAAGGAATATCGTGACTTCTACAATAATAGGGGAATAACTTGGAATTTCTAACCAAGTTGAACTTAGATCCGAGGTTGATTTGAGGTATTATGCTAAACTCGAAAGGTTTTGGCAGGGTACAACTTGGGGTTCAATTCCTAGGAAATCATATCCATCATATAATCAGCTTAGAAGCCACCCTATCCCTTCTAAGTCAAGTTCTAAAACCAAACCTCGTCATTCCGAAAACCCCCAGGTTTACATAAACAAGGTGATCTTTTGTTATGATATTTAGGTTTAATACACTTGTATATCCAAAACTTTCACGGTTGTGCCAATAATATCCAAATTTCCCGAAATACCACTTATATCCATGTTTTAAAGTTATTGTATATCCAAAAACACCGTTAAAGAATGTGAAAGAATTGGATATAAGTGGTGTTTCGGGAAATTTGGATATTATTGGCACAACCGTGAAAGTTTTGGATATACAAGTGTATTTAACCTGATATTTATTTATGTGTATTTTGTGTCTTATCGTTTACTCATAAATGATGTTATATGCATGCACTGAAAATCATTTGGCATTCACATATCAACATCATTTAGCATAAAGCATCACATATACATCTCATTAATCGACCGAAACAATTTAACAAACTTGGCAAGGGTTCTTTAAAATTGTCCAGTCACAAGGAAACGTCAAACCCTTAAGTACTCGACCAAGATCCAAGACTGGGCTCATAATGGAGTTAATCCATAATGATTTGAGCAACATCTAAGTGGGGTTGACGATACTCTAAGATGGTGATGTGTCATCCGATGGCAAAGATATCTACCAACAACACGACAAAGTGAAAATTTTAGAAGCCTCCGGAAAATATATCAAACTTGGACAAGAGAAAGAGATCTTCATTCAAGGGGAATCATCACGACCAAATAAAAAAAAATCAAAATAAGTATGGAAGATACAAAAAAACCATCAAAACTGACCATATTCCTGTTACATACACTGTTCTTCCTCAACTACTCCAAAATCACCTAATTGCCATTGTACCATGTGAATCTATGCAACCTCCATAGCCAAACTGGTACAAGTCAGATCAACATTTTGCTTACCACTCTGGAGTTACAGGACACTCAACTAAAAATTGCAGATCATTCAAGTTTAAGGTCCAACAAATGGTGAATGTAGGATGGTTGAAATTGGAAGGAAAGCCAGAACGCTCAAACATCAACAACAACCCACTAACAGCTCGTGAGAATTAGTATGCATACTACAAGGCAAAGCTCGATGCAAGAATGATCATCCTGTTAAGTAAATAAGCATAAAGATAGCTTGCCATGACAAGATGTATCACTTTTGCTTTCATCATTATAAATAAAAGATCTGCCACATTTCGACCTATTTGGGATGTTATGTGACTATTGTCAATCTTCATTTAAGAGTTTTCATCAATGTGTCTTCATTCTCTAAGTGGCAAATGTCACTACCAATATGTTTAAATACAATTCATGGTTTCAAGTTAAGCCATGAGACTACCATGCTAAGCAAATATGAACACCCATTAGTATATAAACATCCTACTGGTGTCGAGAGTTTGAGCACCCCACTGGTGTTGAAAACATGCACACTCGGCTAGAGTTGAGAGTATAAACACCCCGCTCGTGTTCACAAATTATGAGTGTCAATAGTCAAAGGGTGTAACGAGGGTACGTCATTAGGCTACTTGTAGAATCTCATCACTAACAGAGCAAACATTTTGCTAGCAACATATTCAAATGGTACATCAAAGATATGAAGTTGCCAGAAGTTTTGTTTCTCCGAGAAAGACGTAACCACTCGGCCTAACCGACAAGAAAGAGCACTCACATTGTCGAATCACTAAGAAAAACGCTTAACCTTTTAATGCTTATGCTCAGAAATAGCAATGTTAAAGCAAGGAAAAAGCAGCATATATAGGGCATAACCAAGATATTTATGTCCCAAAATAACAAAAAGACCAAAAATCATAAAGAAAAAGGTTGTGGGACTTACAATTTGCCAGCATTGAAGTCACAACCATTCATTACAAGTTGAGATATCTGCCCATCAATCTTAAGAATCAACAAAGGGGACCTCAAGCAAAATCTTCCATAATGAGAAGCCTTTGTATCCACAACCAGATCAGGCAAGTATTCGTCATTTTGAAGCTACAACTCCATCACATCAAGGCTTCCTCTAGTCATCATTTGGAGGACAAACAAGAATTTTGACAATGCAAAGATTTCCATAGACAGGTTCTGCACTCACAAAGACCTCATTTACTCACTACCTTATCCCATCTCTTAAAGCCAAAATCTCAATACAAGGGGGCAATGTAAGATGCATTTCCCAAGATGTCCAAAAGCCACCACTATTTTCGAGAAAATAAGACACCGAATGAAGATATGAACGCGGTGGTCATAAGTTAAGGAGTGGTCTATTTATGAGGTTAAGGGTGGAGAGTAATGCCAACTCCCACAAATTCATTTAAAGGATAATGTTAAAGGAAGGGAGTAAGAACAACTCCCGCAAAGTAAAGACAAATGTTTGATTTTATTATAATGTTTGAGTTTTGAGGGTGGAGAGTAATAACAACTCCCACGTGAAGTGTTAATGTTTAAGGGTGGAAGTATGAAAAACTCCCACAAGTTTGTAAAGTGAATACTTAAGGGGAAAACCCTAAGTTCTCTAAGGATTTAGTAATGGCGTAGACTGACCTCTTCTCACTCACCAGGTAGAGGAAGAGTTAGAGAGAGAGAGAGAGAGAGAGAGAGGAGTTAGCAAGAGACGATCAGTAGCACCATTAGTGAGGATGTCCCAAGAAGGATCACAATAAGAAGCCGTAGCTGAAAGTGTTTGGTTATTTCGTTTTATGATCTCATTCAATAGATGATTTGAAATGCATTAAATGAATGTTTTCTACCTTAGTTATGCACATAACATTTTTGAAAGTGATCCAACTATGCATAATGTGTTTAGACCTCAATGAAAAGAGAGAGAAAAATATAATATAAGCATTACATATAATTATTATTGAATGAAAAATAAATAACTATTACTTATTATCATTCATTACTTAATTAAACTATATAGTTGAATATTAGAGTTGCTTATCATAATACATACATAATCAACTTTTAGGACCAAAGAAAATGTCTCATAGAGTTTAGTATGCCCTTTAAGTTTTTCCCAATAGAGAGCATTCTTTTTTACCACACTGTTGGTAATGAATATGAAGTTGCGTTATTTGAAATATATAAGACATGATGCTAAGTTGTCGCTAATAGTTAGTTGGACAATGTGTTGTGTACGGACTTCCCAAATTATTCTCAGATCGCAGACATGTCTAGCAACAATGTAGTAACTTTCATGAAACAAATATTTTTTTTCATGAAATAATTCAATAAATAAAAAGGTATGAAAATAATATTACATGAAATATATTTTACTCATTAAGTTGATAAATGAGCGAGTGTATTAGTAGCATACATCTATTTTAAAATAATAGAAATTTCAAAGTGTCTTTTGGGTTGCATGAGATCGCATATTCTCATTATCGCTAACCGAGTTATTTTTTTTTTGCAATATATAGTTCAAAATGTGCCTTTAAAACTTTTGTTTCCACCAGTGTAAAAGATTTGTTTGGACCAAAGGATTGTAAAATAGTATAAAAATTTTGGTAGTTGAGTATTTTATACCGAAGTCATAATTTAACTGTGGTTCAATAGTTTCATATTGCTAAATATCACTTATCGATTTATCCTATGATGTGAAGTTTATGGTCTAACTGCCGATACGTACGATCTTTCAATACAAACTTTAAATAAAAAACCACTAAAATATTGACATTATCAAATACCCCTTAAATCTAAAAAAATTACAGTAATCGTATTAAGGGAAAAAATCTTCAAAATGATAATATTGATTTAACATTTTAAATTTAAATGAAAAAAATATGTCAAATATAATGTCATCTCCTAAAATAAATCAAAACTCAACAGAATAGGGCAAAAAATGTCCACTAATCAAAGCAGAAGAGAAATTATTTTACAGTAACTCATTTTCCTCCTCTTTTAAATGTGCCACATGTTTTTTCCAGGTAATTATTATAAATTCTTTGTAATAAATCTTGACTCTACCTAATGATACTATTACTAATCTAAATCTTGACTCGGCCCCCACAGGTAACTATTGTCTCTTAGATTAGTATCATTAGGTCGATTAATTTTAGGAATACAAATCTCAATTGGCAGTTCCTGACAAAAACCTTAATTAATTAAAATAGTTTATAAAATAAAAGACATATAAACATTCCGCCAACTAACGGATTCCAACGAAAGCTAGTTGTATTTAGACACCGTAGAGGAACTCATTTTGTGTGTATAGATGATGACGAAAGAAGGACTCCGCACAGAGGGAAGATACCTCCCGCAATCGCATTCTCTTGATGCAGAGTCCTATCTCAGTTTGACGATGGGATTTGGGAAGCCTAATTTGTCCACCGGCGACCAAGGAGGTATAAAAGGAGAGGTTAAGCCACATTAATTCCTCACCCTACACACACCATACAAAAAGCAGCTAATAGGGTAATTTGGGAGGAGGAGAGTGTACATAAAAAAGCTCAAAACAGAAAGAAACAGAGAGTGAAGCACAAAAAAGAAGAAAGTAGGAAAACATGGATTCCGGATCAAAATTGATGGCCGTGTCAGCTTTCCTGCTCCTAACCATTTCGAGCTTCCTTGTCGTTGACGCGAGACTTGCAGATACAAGCATTATCAGGGGACCGGATTGTATCGGCAAGTCAGAGGATCAAGAGTACAACAACAAAGTGGCTCGTCTCGTCGACATATTCGTCGACGAGACAAAAAATGTGCAGCGCGGACATCACAGTGACTACAGTTACGTTCACAGCTATCCGAATCGTGACAACGGGTCGGTCATCGGAGGCGCTACCTGTGACAGACACCTCTGGAAATTGGATTGTTGGGCATGTCTTGTCACTGCTAAGAACAAACTCAACACCAATTGCGAGCACACCCTTGACGCCAGGCTCGAATTGGCAGATTGTTCCATATGGTACAAAATGATCCAATAACTTCACTCAGTGTTTCTGGATATATATGTATATATGTGCGCCTCTCGTTCCCTACTCTTGTTGGTCTGTGTTGTTATTTGTTTTTATCCCTTTTGCTGCTTTGGTTGTGTTTGGGTCTATCTTTATCTTATCTTACTTTCAACACTCAATAAGGTACTATAGATACTCGTTCATACCGCATATGTATTTCTCAAATTTATAATTTAATGAAATATTTCATGATATGATTTTTTTTCCGATAAATTTTCATTTCGACCAAAGGGCAAATAACCTATGTATTCAGATTACGAGAACACAAAAAATTATTAAATTTTTTGATGATCACTCAACACCTATAAGAAAACCAATAAATGGCTTAAGTTAACTGTTTTGTAATAGGAATTGGGAAAACTTGGATTACGGTTAAGTGCATCCTTGTTCGCAGGCTATTTAGTACGGGTTTTTTGGTTTTACCCGAAATCGGACTGTATAATCCGGACCGAGACCAAGACCGGAATCAGATAACAAACAATCCAATACAATCTTCGGGCCTAGATTTGAGGTAAAAAACAGTTTGGGACCGGACCGAAAATCGGATAAAGACCGGATAAGAGAGTCCAACACCCAAAATTTAACCTCCTCACCCTTTCAAGCCTTAGGCCACTCAAATCCCCCTCAAACCACTCAAATCCCCACAAGCTTAATCTAAAATCAAGACCAAATTGGGACCGGACCGGATCAAGACCGGACTGTATCCAATCCAATATTTAGTCCTTATATTCTTGAAAAGACCGGACTGGGACCGGATCAATTTGGGCCAATTTAACCGGACCCGACCATATAGCCAACCCTAGTTCTCATTATCTCATCATCATAATAGATTATAGAAGGGGCATCACTAGGGCTAGGAAAATAGACTAGACCATTAGAAAAACTGTGGTAAAAAAAAACCGTACCGTACAGTTTGGTCCGGATCATAGACCGTTAAGTATGGTTTGGTCTAGTCCATGGTCTGTATAATTTTATGTTTTGATCTCATGGTCTAGTCTGGTTTAGACCGCGATTTATCGGACCAAACCGCTTGTCACTACGTGTTAACAACCCATTTGACCGCTCTCCCAACTCCCACAACGACCATTTGCGGAGGTAGGTGAGGGGTTGTGGGTCCATGGACCCCACTTGGAATATGAATATACATTAAAAATGGTGGATTTTTAAGGTGGGGTTTGTAAATTTAGAACTACGGACCCCCTCTTCCCGAGACAATAATTTTACTATTGAGACAAACTTCGTATTTGGTTATGTTTGGACCCCACTAAATTATATATCTGACTACGCCAATGACGACAACACCCAAGTCTCAACCTTATTTTTATGAATATCGTCTCTCCTTCATTCACAACAACATTTAACCAGAGAGTAGAGATAATCGTGTCTCTATATGACATTATGTTAATGTTTTATGACGTTATGGTGCAAGTTGTGATGCTTTTACTTTGAATCTTTGTTATGTACCAAGAATTAGGGTATCAAAATTATTCATGCATGTTAGGATTAATGTTTTAAGGCAAATAACAATTATTTTTCTTGGTTATTGGTTCAATTTTTTGTGTGATTGACTAAACAAATTGATCATTTTTTGTTGAGTGTGGTCTATCTGAATCAGACCAAACCAAACTAAAATGTAAAGGCGTGATTTGGACCGGACCATATAATTTGTGGTCCATACTTCATCCTCTCGGCCTCAATCATAGATCATATATATGATCTAGTCTGGACAAGACAACACCATTTCCCAGCCCTAAGCATCAGGCTGAGTTTTTGCGAGTGGGGGTACACTATTCATTGTTCTTCTAACCGCGAAATCTGCCTGGCCCGTCATCCACTGAACGGCTAGGGCCCATATCTCCTCTCTCCCTGGATCGGTTCTTTTACAATAATATGAAACGACCACCCAAAGCTCAGAGCAAAGCTGGCCCAACCATCATTCAGTAGCAAACATATATCTGCCAACCCAATTTCTTCAGTTCCCATCTTAATCAATAAGGTATACCAGGTGGCGATGCCGCGACTTGTCGCGGATGGAGATGGCCAATAGGAATGTATTATGTAGTTCGTTATGGTGTTTTGTTAGTATTATTAGTCTAAAATTATTTTTTTGTTAGCAGTTTTGTTAGTAATATTGACTTGACAATGTGATATTGACTAAGGATAGATATATGTATGTCAACATCCAATTTAAAAATTTTGGCTAGTAAATGATATTTACCTAAACCCAAGTAGACTCATTGATTATGGGTTAGGGTATGAGTGACGTATATGTGGGTTTGAAAGTTTGTACATGGGTTTGGGTAGGGTATGAATATTTACTTTCATAATCTAAATGTGTATGAGTTGGTATGGATATTCATTTATTCGAGGGTGTTTTAATTACACATACAAAAATTAGACCTATTTTTAGAACCTCACAAATTCAGGTACTAACATGTAATACACAAGATTTTAGATACTACAATGTAGTGTTCCATAAGTATTTTGAGGACTTATATGCCAAAAAAATAATTTTAGGTTATAAATCTAAGGATCTATTAAGTTTAGGTACCCAACTGTAATTTGCATAATTGAGGCTTAATTCCTTTTATGGTGATGTATTTAAGATGATAATTATCTACTTTTTTATAAAAAATAGAAAACTATTTATTTGATATGTATAATTGTTGAATTCCATGTATAATTGTTGAAAATTCTACCCGGGTGAAAAAGAAAACCTCTAGAGAGAAGCAAAAGGAATACAAACTGGAACTCGTTTAAAATTTCATGCCTTCAAATCTCATACTGGAAAATGATGAATTTCTAATAAGTAATAACCTTATATATTCATTTGTAAATGGACTCGACATTGAGCTAAAAAGTTAGTGGTCATAGTTCAATTATTATTTCTATAGACTGTTGGTCAGTCGTGTATGGACCCGTTACATACTTGCGATTGGAATACATAAAAATAGTATGCTAATTAGGGTTAGATGAAGAAGGAAAAGAAAGAAATAAAGAAAGGGTTGTGGAAGGCGAGTGAAAAATGAAACGAAAAGGAAGTAGATGATGAAAATGTTTTGACCAATTCTTTTAGTTGGTCATCAATACAACAGTCAATCATTTTAACCGTAACAATTTATTGACACTTGCTTATGTAGATGTCGCATATTTTGTGACATGTAGTTAGCAGAAGTTTGTTTAGTACCCCGTAAATGTACTAAATGAGTTTATTAATTCGCTCTTGCAATATTTTGAAATCGTCTATTTTTTATCATTTTTTTTAATGTTTCACGTAATTAGCAAATATAAGATGGTTGAATCTTCTACTACAGTTGAGTGATACAACATCTTGTATGATACAAACTAAATTTATACTTTAATATTATGGTGGATTGGATTCATGGATTGGTTCAAAAGGATTGGTGGATTGAATTCATGGATTCAAGTGAAACCTAAACATTGGATCAGTATATAAAAGTACAAAATTGCAGGTACGAAAGTCTCATACAATTTAGATACCAAAACATAAATTTTCAATGATTTTACATTAAAATTAAATTTGGGGTATCAAAATATAAAATGTACATTATAGTGACAAAGTTATGATTTAATTAAATTTGGGGTATCAAAATGTAAATAGGTTAGGCAACAGTAACCCACGTAATTAGCAAATATAAAATGGTTGAATCTTCTACTACAGTTGACTGATACAACATCTTGTATGATACAAACTAAATTTATACTTTAATGTTATGGTGGATTGGATTCATTGATTGGTTCAAAAGGATTGGTGGATTGAATTCATGGATTCAAGTGAAATCTAAACATTGGATCAATATATAAAAGTACAAAATTGTAGGTAAGAAATTCTCATACAATTTAGATACCAAAACATAATTGTTCAATGATTTTACATTAAAATTAAATTTAGGATATCAAAATATAAAATGTACATTATAGTGACTAAGTTGTGATTTAATTAAATTTGTGGTATCAAAATGTAAATAGGTTAGGCAACAGTAACCCAACTTAACATTTATATATATTAATTAATGTTGACAGCACTTTTGGTCACGGAGGTGCTGAAAGCTTATTTTTTACAGTAATTTTTATTTTATAAATTTTTTAAACAAACCACTCTTAAAACACGCAAATAAATCTCATTAGTATAAAATTTAATTGACATTATATTGTAAAACACGCAAATATATTAGACTATCTCATTCAGATAACAATGAAAATCCTCAATTTTATAAACCTTGATTTAATTTTACAGAAACCTTCTACTATATCTAAAATGCCCTTTAGTCAACAAATTATTTCTATTAATATACAATTCCGTTGCTATCAAATGTATTTTATAATACGTGTGTTAAATCTTGCTTGGAAACTCTTTATTTTCGCTATTTATCAAAATTTCACTTTTCAATTATGAGTTATACAAAATGTATACAAAAGTAATAATTAATGATGTAATGAATGACTATATTACTGAATATTTATATGAGAATTTACTTGATGACTGAATACAATGTTATCAAGTTTTTCGTAAATGAACACCCACTAAGCTCGAATCCTGAATTCACCGTTGCTGTTTATCGATCCATTATATATTTCCTTCCCATTTTTCCACACAATTCTCCTTGTTTAAGTACTCATGCACATTCATAATATAGTAATAACTTTTTTTTATAGAATAATATATTTATAACTTAGCGTTACCCGGTATCTTAAAAAAAGCTGTCTTGTTGAATGGAAAAGTAACTTTCATTAACTTTTTCATGAAAGAATCAAAATGTTACATATCTTTTCTCGAATAGCATATTAGGATTGACGGCTCGTCCGCCTTGTACCGGCACAACTACTACTCGAAGTGACTCACATTTAATTTATGGGATATGGGTACAAAGAATACTCATCCAAATCCATTGTATTTTATTGTCATAACTCGTGGTTAAATCCATCAATGATAATATAATACTGAGAATCGCGAGAATTCGGACACAAGACGTTTTGATTATCACGTGCATTAATACAATATAAAAAACCACTTGGCTTCAATAAGAACACGGGCCACCTAAATTTCATGATGCAGGAGATGGTGGTGATTCTTGGGTGCTAAAATTTACCGGTGCATGCATGATATGAGTGCGTCCAATCAACCCACCATATAATACAAGGTGGTTTCATTCTGTAAAAAGTGCACGAGCCATCTACCAAACAGATCGAACATATAATTCAAATCTTTGGGAGTAAAATTCATGATCGATTCGACAGACTCAAAACAAATGAAATTTCCAATCATTCCACATGTGTTCGTTCCATTGATTCCTTCCCCACTCTACGTGGGGCTAATAATTGTGTTGGGGGATGTCAATTATTTTATGTTTTCGTAAGTATTGCCAGATAAAGAAAGGTTCCCTTGGCATGTTTTTCTCCCGATTTTTTCAACAATGGCTGCGCGTTTGGGAGGGCAAAGAAACAGAATTTTTAATGGCTTCTCCACCCGACCCGACAATCTTCTACCCCCAGAAAGACAATTTGCTGCTGCTGCTGCCAATTCGTTCATTTATGCTTTGAATCTGGGCTATATACTTACTACTAATGGTTCTCTTGCATTTAACTGAAAAGAAAGTTGATGAAAACCCCCCACCACTACCTAATTACTTCTAGAAGTGATTAAAATGATCACTCCCTGTAAAATTTGACAAGAACGATAAAAGTGACACGAGATTTTACGTGGTTCTTCCTCACAGTGTGTGAGGCTTACATCCACGGGAAGATTTCGTTCTCTTATTCAGTGGTTTGGCCGATGGCCTGATACATGTATTTATACCCTTTTTCAACATAATTATCTAGGGTATCACAAGGAGAACAAATACATGTAGGATAAGGACTGTTTGCTCGGCTACTTGGCGTCCAAGTAACTGCGTGCGAGCTGGGCTGGGCTGGCGGACTTGACGTCCTGATGTCCTGGTCCAATACTCCCCCGCAAGCTGGCATGTGGAGATCACGAACATTCAGCTTGGAGAGAAGAAAACGAAAGCGATCCGCACCAAGGCCTTTTGTGAGGATATCAGCGAGCTGCAACTCCGTCCGTACTTTCACAGGTAAGACCTCCCCAGATTGGACCCTTTCACGGACAAAGTGACAGTCCATCTCGACGTGCTTCGTGCGTTCATGGAAGACAGGATTATTGGCAATGTGACAAGCAGCCTGATTATCACAATGTAACGGGGTAGGAAAGTCCTGCTTAACGCCAAGTTCACTTAAGAGCCACCGAAGCCAGAGAAGCTCGCTAACAGTGCTCGCCATAGCTCGATATTCAGCCTCTGCCGAAGATCGAGCAACAACTCTTTGTTTCTTGGTGCGCCACCAAGGCTGATGAAATAGCCAGTAGTAGAACGACGAGTGCTTTGGCACCCGCCCCAATCTGCATCACAATAAGCAGTAAGACGAAGAGGGTTAGTAATGGGAAAAAACAAACCCTGCCCAGGTGAGGCTTTAAGATAGCGCAGAACACGATGGGCGGCCTCCATGTGAGCATGACTGGGTGCGTTAACGAACTGGCTCAGAATATTCACCGCATAGGTGATGTCAGGACGAGTAACCGTCAAATATAAGAGTATCCCAACCATTCGGCGGTAAGGGGATGGATCGGCGAGCACATCATCAGTGGGTCGTGTGAGCTGGTGATTTTGCTCAATAGGAAACGGGCTGGGGCGAGACGCCTGCTGTCCAGCATCCTCTAATATGTCCAGAACATACTTTCGTTGACTAAGAGAAACACCTTCTGCTGTACGGGCCACTTCAATACCGAGAAAGTAGCGAAGGGGACCAAGATCTTTGATGCTAAACCGATCATGCAGAAAAGTCTTGACTTTGGCGATGAAGGATGAGTCATTGCCAGTGAGGATGACGTCGTCGACATAAATGAGGGCGACAAAGAAGGTCTGTCCATGGTGATAGATGAACAAAGAGTGATCTGCTGAGGATGCACGAAAACCGAACTTGCATAAGGTAGCAGTAAATTTCTGGTACCAGTTGCGAGAAGCTTGACGAAGGCCATATATGGACTTATGAAGACGACAAACTCTATTATCACCGGGAGCACGAAACCCTTGAGGAATTTCCATGTAAACTTCTTCTTCTAAATCACCATGCAGAAAAGCATTATTAACGTCCAGTTGCTGTAAATCCCAGCCTCGACTGACAGCAACAGCTATCAAACACCGAACAGTGACCAATTTAGCCACAGGAGCAAAGGTGTCGTGGAAATCCAAGCCTTCAATTTGAGTATAGCCCTTCGCGACTAAACGCGCTTTGTAACGCTCAATAGTACCGTCGGGAAGGTATTTAATTTTATATACCCATTTTGAGGCGATGGCGCGCTTCCCAGGAGGTAATGCAACCAATGTCCAAGTGCCGTTTTCTTGAAGGGCCACAATCTCTCTGGTCATGGCGTCGCGCCAAAACTTGTGGCGCACGGCCTCGTGGAAATAAAGGGGCTCGTCCTCCTGGGTAATAGCTGCAAGAAATGAATGATAATGAGGTTTAAAGTTGTCATAAGTAACATATGAAGCAAGGGGATAGCGAACAGGAGAGGCTTCACTTCCCTGAACTGGCGAGGCAGATGGAGCATGGGTGGCATAAGCCATGTCATACGCGTCCAAATGTTTGGGACGCGTCCTTGCTCGATCACCTCTGCGAACTGGAGGAACAGGTGGCTCTGGAACGGCTGGCGAGGGAATCGAGTCTTCAGGTGGCTGCTCAAGGTGCTCACCAACCGAGCCACCAGGTGTGGAGGCTAACTCGTGCATGGCTGGCGACGTTATAGCCGACTCTCCTTGGCTCTCATTCCTCATGCTCATTGGCGTAGCAGGGGAATTTGCCGGAGTAGATAAGGGAGACCCATGCTGTGGATGAGTAGGAGGAACCGTGCGGAGAGGGGTTGGAGACAAGGGCTGGTCGGCGGAAGGTGTAGTGTGACCGAGAGGAGTGGAGCCCTCTATGTGGTCCTCGACAGCCGGCACCATGGGACGTGGTACCCAATGTAATTCTCGGCCAGTATCAGCCTGGAAGGGATAGCGTGTCTCATGAAAAATGACATCACGAGAGGTGAGCATTTTTCGAGTGACCAGATCGTATATTCGATAGCCCTTCTGACTAGCGGCATAACCAAGAAAAACACCAGCACGTCCTCTAGCCGCAAACTTGTCCAAATGAGCGTGAGTATCCTTGTAATAAACCAAACAACCAAACACGCGCAAATGATCATAGTTAGCAGGCTTATCAAAGAGAATCTGAAAGGGAGTTTTACCAGTGGCCTTTGTTGGTAAACGATTGATCAAATATGTCGCAGTAAGGATGCATTCTCCCCAGAAACGAATCGGTAGACTTGCCTGAAACCGTAAGGCTCTGGCTGTGTCTAGAATATGTCGATGCTTTCGTTCAACAACACCGTTCTGCTGCGGTGTGTCTGTGCAGGAGGTCTGTAGTAAAATACCCTTAGTGGCATAAAACTCCTGTAAAATATCCGTGCGAAATTCGTGACCATTATCACCTTGAATTCGCCTAACAGATTTTGCAAACTGCGTTTGCACCATATGACAGAAAGATATAAGATGACGACCCACATCAGATTTATAACGGAGCAAATAAACCCAAACTCCACGACTATAATCATCGACAATCGTGAGAAAATAATGTGCTCCACTGAGCGAAGGCGTCTTATATCCTCCCCAAATATCCACGTGTATAAGCTCAAAACAATCACGAGTCTTAATCGTACTAGAATCAAAAGAATCCCGAGTCTGCTTTGCTTGAGAACAAGAGTGACAAAGTTCAGGAACCGAATTAACAGAAATAGACAAAACACTACTAAGTTGCTGCATCTTCAAGGTCGAGGGATGCCCCAGTCGAGCATGCCAAGTGGCGTTGGACACTGTGCTCCCACGAACCGCACAAGCATCCGTACGTCCATTTCCAAACAACCTAAGACGATAAAGCCCATCATGGAGTTCCCCCTTCCCAATCAATTTCTTGGAGCGTAAGTCCTGGATAACGCAGAAGCCATCAAGAAATATTAACGCAACATGATTGTCTTTTGTTAGTCGGCTCACAGAAATCAAATTGCAGCGAAATTTAGGAACATGAAGAACTCGACCCAGTCTCAATCCTGACTGCAGAGTAATAGAACCAACATGTTTAACTGGTATACTTGCGCCATTAGGTATGCGCACTGGTTGTCCACTAACATTCAATTCTTTGCGAGATAATAACGAGTCATCCATCGTGATGTGCTCGTTGCAACCTGAATCAATCAACCATTCAGAAGTATCAGAGATTATACCTGCCATGTTAGCCACAGGATCATCTCCTGTTGAGGGTTGGCCAAAGAACTTTTTTAGTTGCTCCAGTTGCTTCATTGTGAATCCCTGAACAGGGCTTTGATGGCGTCGGCCTGCAAAGCCTTCGGTTCGCGGGTGGAGTTATCCATGGAGCCTCGAGGATTACGGCGTCGCTGCTGTTTGTCACCAGCAGCTCGATCTCTGTCCTTCTCTCGATCCCGCGGTGGATAGCCCACGAGCTCGTAGCAGTTCTCCCGCAAATGGCCAGTCTTTTGACAATGGGTGCAGCGCACCCTTTCTCGCTCCCCCGCACTTCGCGCCGATCTGTCCGTCTCTCCACGAGTATTAAAGGCCGCTGCTTCTGGGGATGGGCGACGGTTTTGGGTGATAGCCTTCTGTTGCTCTTCGTTCAAGGCTATATTAAAAACTTTGGAAAGAGATGGTATCGGCCTCATGGCCAGTACTTGGCTGCGGACTGCTGCAAACGCGTCGTCTAGGCCCATGAGGAAGTCAAACAGGCGAGAGTTATCCTGCTGCTCTCGCACTTGTCGAGAAACGCCACATGTGCACAGGCCACACGTGCAAACAGGTGTGGGCGAGATTGCTGAGGCTTCTTCCCAATACGCCCGAAGTTTCGTGTAGAAAGCCGAAACCGAGTGCTTTTCTTGTTGCAACATGCTAATGAGACGTCTAAGTTCATACGCCCTAGACGAGCTCCCTTGGCCAAAATGAGCATGGAGATCCGCCCAGATTTCACGAGCTGTTTCCGCGAATCGTATGCTACTCCGTATTTCTTTGTCCATTGCGGTCTTTAGCCAACCTTTCACCATCGCATCACAACGGATCCAAGCCTCTCTTTCGCCTGGTCCGCTGGGTTTGTTTAGGGTTCCATCAACGAACCGAAACTTATTCTTAGCGATGAGGGCATCTTTCATATCAAGTACCCACTCACCATAATTCGAAGCTGACAGTGCTTCGCCGATGAGCATCTGCCCCGGGCCGTCCGAGTTGCTGAGTTGGTACACGGGCGGGAGATCGGGTTCTTTGTTGCTGCCGACAGTGAGGGTCTTCTCTCCACTCGATCCATCGTCATTGAGAGACATGATGGATTATGAACAGGATAGCTGGAACTCACAGCTCTGATACCATGTAAAATTTGACAAGAACGATAAAAGTGACACGAGATTTTACGTGGTTCTTCCTCACAGTGTGTGAGGCTTACATCCACGGGAAGATTTCGTTCTCTTATTCAGTGGTTTGGCCGATGGCCTGATACATGTATTTATACCCTTTTTCAACATAATTATCTAGGGTATCACAAGGAGAACAAATACATGTAGGATAAGGACTGTTTGCTCGGCTACTTGGCGTCCAAGTAACTGCGTGCGAGCTGGGCTGGGCTGGCGGACTTGACGTCCTGATGTCCTGGTCCAATACTCCCTGGTTCAATTGTTCGATATTGTTTGCCACCATCAATTTGCGAGGCAGTACTTTATGGTATTGTTTTCACTGTAACTACTGGTTTGTAATTAATTGATCGATTGAAGCAAGCAAGGCCCACTTGGGAACTTTTTCATATAAGGCTTAAGAAACAAGACGAGATTATCAGATGGAGAAAGAGGACATGTCACATGTGGAATTAGGTTGTGTCACATCATCCGAACCTGCTGGGAGCTAGAACCGCTATAGTGGGCACATCACACATGACAATTCTAGGTCGTGGCACAAGGGATTAATCGACGTTGCATCTCACTCCCCTTGATTTGGAAGGAGATGCACTGTAATGGAGGGAATGAAACTCAACTCAACTCCAGTGAATCATATGGGATTTTGTAGTTCATGCTGGACTGGGTGGCTGGATCGACTATGCGATGTTTTGATTGAGTCGTCACCTTTCCCCAGGGGGATTTATGAGATTGATTGTTGCTAAGATGTAGAAAAAGTGTCAGGACGAAAAAAAGTTGTAACTGTGACGAGTGGTGCGTCATTGGGCACCACTATGTGCATTTGAAACAGGTGTTGTTGATGGAAAGTCAAAGTTTTAAGGATGAGATGAGACAAAGGAAAAGTGGAGGTAGCTAAGGCTAAACTAGGCGGGTGCCGCTCAACCTGGAGGAAAAAAATGTTCTCAAGCGGTGGGATGGGAATTGGTAAACGTATGTCATATTGCTTATATGCTACTTTTATGTTAGGGACAATTATTTATATTTTTGGTGTTTTTAGGATTATTTGTGGGATTTGTTTGATAATATTTGGACATTTTATTTATTAGGTGAATTAAAGTATGGTTTGAGGCAGTGGCGTAGCCAGGATTTCATCTAAGATGGTCCACTTAGAAGAAAAATACACATGATAAAATAATTTTTGTTAACTTTGCGAATCATTCGTGACATAATCTTATATTGGAAAATTTTGGTTAATTAAAATAGATTTGCAGTCAAAACAATAGTATCTATAACTCGAGTTGTCAAAAACAATCTTATATTGGAAAATTTCATCTAAGATGGTCCACTTAGTCGTTCTGTTTCGTATGATGTTCTTTGTCAGAAACCATTAGTATCTATAACTCGAGTTGTCAAGAGATATTTATTAATAAATCTTACACCAAACAATAATTCATGATTTAGTTAGTCAGTCACTTACAAATGATGTTATTTGTCAAGAATCTTTTTGAATCAATAAATGAGTTGTTGGAAGAGGTTCAATAATATATCTTATACTATTTACTAGCACACTCGCTCATATAAGAAAGTCAACTTATAGAAAAATGAAGTTTGCACAAATCTGTATACCGTGTACTTAACAAATGAGGTCGCCAAGATTCGAACACAAAATCTTTCGATCAACTATTTTCAATTAAATACGCCCTAATTTTTTATATAAATTAACTATTGTACTGAATTGAACAATTTTCCTTCCGAGTCAGGGTGGGTCGCTATTATACTCTCCCTCCGCCACTGGCTTGAGGAAATTGTAGGTTTTACATATTATGTATTTGTGGAGGAGAAGCAATAAAAAATAACATGAAATTTGTCACATACATCAACATAAAATCAAAACTTAGACCTAGGGTTTTTAAATCCAAGAAAAGCGGGCTAGTTTCTAGAGAGAGAAGAGATAGATTATAAATTGGAGCACTAGATCTTCTTCTTCTTCTAGGCTTTCCTTGCTTCAATTAAGCTCCAAAATCACTCAAGAACTCTCTCTCTCTCTTTCTCACCAGAACTCCCCTTTGGTGTTTTGGGTCGAAACCTTAGCGAGAGAATCAATTTCTTCTAAAACCAGCTCTCCTATCTCTCTCCCCTGTTGCTGTCTTTTATACATCCCGATAGTCAATTTTCATGGTCACTGTCACGGCCGTGTTAAAAGCCCGACCATGATCTCGGCCAAAAAAGCAAGTGGTTACTGCCGTTTTTGTCTGACTTCACGGTCTCTGGTAAATTTTCACATTATGACGTCCGTGATGTCGTTTAGGCCTGCGAAGTGCAAATACATCCTTATTTCTTAGCAAACTTCACGGCCGTCATGCAATTGTCATGGTTGCTTTGTACTTTTTTTCATTTTTTGGCACTTTTCGACCTCCAATCGTCCTGAAACTCGTCCTCGACCTTCTCACACGTACTAGGACCTGAAATATAACAAAATAGCAAAATCTAGCGTAAAATAGATCGAGTGAGGATGATTTAGCAAGTCAAATGATCAAGAAATGAGGAGTAAAATATATGTAATTAGCCCTGAATCAGGTATTATCAGTGGTGCATGGAAGGAATTAAGGTTGTTAAGTTATGACTGATATATTATTATCAACTAGATCAATCAAGTCACTTATGATAATAAACTAAATATTTAAAAAACATTACCAATTTATGCGCACATTATGATTTCCTATAAGAAAAAATCATGGGTATTCATAAGATCAAGTGAGAGATTGTTAGATCACTTTTGGTGCAAGAGAAATATCTCATCCTTAATATAATCTAATATGAAACCCATGAGTTACGATAGGATTGTGAGTGTTATCTTTTATTAAATTGGTTTTAAGAACAAGGAGTTAGCCAAGATAAATAACTCCAAAGAGTTATCTACCTATTGTAACTCTTCCATGATGGATAGTTGAAATTAAATCTAACGAAACTTTGTAGAAATTTCGGTCCTCTCTCCACCTATAAATAGTATGTTTTGGACCATCACAATTGCATATCCAAAAACATATATATCAAGTAACTTATAGGGTGGGAGAGAGAACAAAAAATTCAACATTGTCACTTCTTCGTTAGATCATCCACATTGGAATTGTATTATGATGTGACATTCATTTGCAATCGTATTGATGAGATAACAATTGCAACTTTGCAAGCTTGTATCTTGTAAAGAAGTGATTATATACCATACATGGGCCACTCCCAACTATAGGTGTCAATCGGGTGGGTTCGGGCTGGGTTCAATCGGGTTGCGGGTTAGTCGGGTTGCGGGTTCATCAGGTTGCGGGTTCGTCGGTTCGGGTTCAATCGAGTTCGGGTTTAATCGGGTTTCGGGTTAGTTAGGTTGTGGGTTGATCGGGTTCGGGTTCAATCAGGTTACTGGCAAATCGGGTTCGGGTTCATCGGGTTTCGGACCGGGCGGGTTGCAGGCGGATTGGGTTGCGAGTTGTTCGGGTCAACACATCGAGTTACTTACTCGTTACCAACTTACACATTTTATTACACTAATTTAAAATATTTTTCACAGTTTTTAATCAATTTCTTTCTACCTTGTATATATACTTAATTAAGAAAAACTAGTCAAAATCACCACAATCGAAATTTGAAATCTCGCCTTCCCACCACAACTAAAATTGGGCCGCCCAAAATTTCATCATCACCTGCCCACTACAATTACACCAAAAACATAAAACCCTTCCCTCTGCTTGCAAAAAATTGGACGCCCAAAATTTCATCACACCCGCCCTAAACCAAAATTTCATCACACCCGCCCAAAATTACTTCTTAGTTCTTACCCTGTCATCTTCTCCAATAATAAAGTTTATTATTATAGACAAAAGGTCTTAGTTATTATTTATTATAAATATTAGCATTGTGCTGATTTTATATTTACTTTTTTTTGTAATTTGGTTAAAGAAATTCATGTAATAACTTTTGTAATTAAAAACCATAATTTGAAGTGAATTTCAGATTTTGAACTTTCTTAACTAAATGTGAATGATTTTACTTAGGTTGAGAATGACAAACTTTATTTGAAAACAATATATTTTATTTTAACCAATTTATTTCTATCTCATATATATATATATATATATATATATTTAATTTTTTGAAAAAAGCGAGTAAAATGTTAAATCAATTTGTATGACTTGCAAACTTGTTATGTAATTAATCGTAATTGGTAAAGTACACTAGCTAATAGTAATGGTGATATCAATATTTACAACCAAAAGATACCATTAATTATTTATTTGATATTTTAGTATTATTTCAGTAGTGTAATTGGATTAAAATATCTCATTTAGTATAACCATGCAAATGTGGTATTTGGCGTGTGGTATTAGGCAAAAGCAGAGTGATAAAAGGAGTTATTTCGAAATAACTTATTGCCCAAATAATTTCAGTAAACTGTTGCCAAATGAGTTATTTGTAAAATTGTTCGAATTATCCTGAAAATTGAACCATTAAAGATTAACTATCAAATCTAGTAAAATTATTGGGACTTCAATCATAACTTACTCAATAACAGATATCCTATACACTTAGCCTTACCCTCAATCGACAATATTAAGTTAGTATATGTTGTTGATTGTATACCCTAAACCATCTATACATTATACACTAACCACATACCCTATACCCTAACCAAATGTCCTTATGAGTTGTGATTTTGCTAGTATAGTTAATTTAAACTGAAATTCATACTTTGATTTTCAAAACATAGATAAAAAATGTATTTGCTAATTGCTATACCCTAACCATATATCTTATACTCTACATCATATACCTTGTACCCTAACCACGTACCACAAACATAAATTAAAAAGGGATCTCCTGCCGTTAAAGACATCAAATGACTTCAAGTGAACATATGTTAATAAACAACTTAGAACCGTCAAAACCATCAATATCTTATACCCTGACCATATACTCCCTAAACCATCTGTACCTTATACCATTTACCCTAACCAATATACTTTATACCCTAAACAACGAACCGTCAAAGATTACTTATCAAGTTTAGTATAATTGTTGTAACTAATGGTTAATTTATTTATTAGCCCATAAACAATTACATATATATTAGCCTTCAAAGCATATAAGAATATATTTAACTAGTCATGCCCTCCATATAAAAATTAAAAGATTCATATTTCAAAGGCTAAAATTTTGAAAAACCAAAAAGTTGAAAACACCTAATTTGTTTCATTCTTTCTTTTCACAAAAAAAAAAAAAATACTAAAATTGCCCTCCTTCTTTCTCTTTCCATAAATTAGAAACACTCAATTTCCCTCATCTTTCTCTTCCATAAAATTGAAAGAACCAAATTTCCCTCTTCCTTCCTTCCACAAAAAGTTGAAAACTCAAAATTTCCCTCCTTATTTCTCTTTCATAATCAAAAGAACCAAACTTTCCCACTTCTTTCTATTCCCACAAATCAAAACCACCAAAATTTCCACTTGTTTCTTTTCTAAAAAATTCAAATAACCAAATTTCCCTCTTCTTTCTCTTCCCAAAAAGTTGAATACAACAAAATTTTCCTCTTCTTTTAAAAACATCAAATTACCAAATACATTACTTTATTTTATTTATATTTAATTGATAATTTTATTGAATAGTTGAATTAACCAAAATTTTAATTTATATATTATATTAATATTGTCCATGATCTCAATTATTAATTCTTCATTATTAATATTGACATTATGTTGATTTTATATTTACTTTTTTAATTTTGTTAAAGAACTTGGTGTTCAAGTGACCTTCATGTTTCAATTTTTGTAAATTTCTTAAAATACATAATATCAAGTGAGTTTCATATTTTTTAAATTCCCTATACGAAATGAAAAAATAATTTTACCTATATTTAGAATGAAAAGCTTTATTTTGAAAAACTATGTATTGTATATTATAATAATTATTTAAGTGGACTAAGTGAGGTTCGGGTTGAGTCGGTCGGGTTACGGGTTAGTCGGGTTTGGGTCAGTCGGTTTGCGGGTCAATCGGGTTCGGGTTAATCGGGTTGCGGGTCGGGCGGGTTACGGGTTTTTGAATTTTAGTCAATTCGGGTTGTGGTCGGGTTGCGGGTCGGGTTGATTGGGCGGGTTAATCGGGTCGGGCTATGTTTTGACACCTATACTCCCAACAACTCGAGTTATTGAGACCAGTTGGTTTATAACATGGTATCAGAGCTGATTTGTCCTTGAGGTCACGTGTTCAAGTCCTCACGACCCCATTATTAACCGTTGTCTTCAAGCACATGGTATGGTCGGCGGGCCTGTGCAAACTTCAAGCCCATGAGTCGGCTTTCGTTTGATGAGGCATGTAAGGAAGTGATTAAGTATCATACATGGACATCTCCCAACAACTCGAGTTATTGGAACCAGTTGGTTTATGACATATCTAATGCAATTATGGATTACAAGTCAGATCATATTTTTTATTAAATCATTTTTATTTATATTTTTTAATCATTTTTTGTTTTATAATTAGATTAAAATAGCCAATGTGAATGCCATGAAAGTAATACGAGTTGGACTGAAAAACAATGAGGAGGTTATAAAGAGCACAAATGCAATTGTGTATACAATTGCATTGATGTGGATGCTCTAACGCTATTTTCAATCAAATGAATAAGGTTTTCTTCTCTAATCATTTTTCTTCTTCTATTCCATGTGATTCCGATTTTATGATTTCATGTAAGTTAAGGTTTACAATTGTGCCTTCCTTGTTGAAGAAAAAGCGGACACATAATTTAACTAACTGTGACCTAGCTAGCTAATAGTTAGTTAATGCCTAAATATACTCTCAAAGACTAAGCCGGAAAATGGACAACAACGTCCCTTTAGTTTTCTTATCTTATTGTTTTCGTTTTTACTCGTATATATGTAGTTGGAGTGTATTAGTTATTAACGTTTACATTAACTGTCTTATTTTTTGTCGATACATATAACGGTGTGGCAAATATCCTGATTTGGGATGACTTCTATGTTTCTTGTGGCAAACAAAAAGATAGTCGAGGATCAAAGCACTGAAAATGACAAAGAACTGAAAGCATGTTGTCGCCAAAGACAGTTAATTGTTTGTCAAATTGAGCTGCATGATGATCCAACAAAAACATCTTAGGTTTCTTCGCAGAAGCTGTTAATTAAATTAGCTTTTAACGACACAATACGACGAGTGTCATTAAGACAAAAACTCCGGAGAAGAACTGCTAATAACTAATCTTTCCTCGGGTTTATACACATTTGATGCTCGAAGCTAGTTCGTTAGGCTAAGGGTCTATTATTAGCTTTTAACGACACTATAAGACGAGAGAGGTTCGTTAATTAATACAGTAATCTGGGAAGCTGATGATAACTAACTTTTCATCGGGCTTGTAATTTGATGCTTGCGAGAAGTTTGTTTGGCTTAGGCGACTAGGGATGGATTGCTATGGATCTTTTTTTGTTCGTTTGTATCATATGTCAATGATTTTATTGTTTCGTAAGTATGTAATTTGCAGATAGAAGATAATGGAAAGAGGAGAAGCGAGTTGCGTGGTATTAGATTTACATCCACATGAGTGATATAGTCGAATTGTATATTAGGCTTCTTTGAGTAGCTACACTATATTGCAAGCTTATATATAATTAGGGTATTTGCATCTTTAAAGTTGAGGCCATATATTGCGATATTAACCCTAATAAGTGATAGTTAATATGCCATCACCTGAACCAACTAACGAGAGGAAGAATAATTTGAGCCCTAAACTTGGATCATCTTCTACATGAAAAATTTTACTATGCTTTAGAGTATTGGTGTTTTACTTTTTTATCTTTTAGGTTGTACCTAACTCGTTTGCACAAATATCTTTATTGTACAAATTTCCTTATAGTACAACATGAACTTGTATATTTGACGTTATGGTACAACTTCAAATTGCGCATTAAAGCACAAAAAACATAGTAGAAGTGCTCTCTGCATATACGAATACATAATATATATAGCGCTCTATATATAATGGACTCAATATCCATCAGCAACCTCCCCCAATTGATGGTTTCCCAAAACACCAATTTGAATAAGAAATAGTACTGATGTCGGCTTGTATAGTAGAAGGATCCATGAATAGGTTAGAAAGGTGATCTTCACTAATATTTTCAATGAACTGTA